CATTAACCTGTTTCGCTTTCTGCACGTTCTAGGTATGCTTTTGTACTTAGGAAAGCTTCATCCTTTGTCTTTGATAGTTTGACCACATTGTGTGAGCATCTGTCAATAAATGTAATGAAGTATTTGTATCCTTGTGGTGTCGAAACTGACATTGATCCACAGATATCAGAATATGTTCTATAAAGCACTCTGGGGTTTTTGATTGTGGACTTGGATGGAATTGGCTCTTGAGTCTGTTTCCCTGCAATGCACGGTATGCATTTGTCACTTTTTTTGTTTTCATCTCCAATGATTTCTAGACCTTTGACCATGCCCTTTTTTGATAGTTTCAACAAGGAGTCCAGGTGTATATGTCCTAACCTGTTGTGCCACGTCCTTAGGGAGGCCTTTGGGGCTTGTATTTTTGCAGTCACGTCTGGATGTCATGTTTGCAGAGGCTCCCTAGTCGACTATCCAGCAATTGTTGCAAATAGATGATGAATTGTTTGTGATTGACAATTTGGCCATGAAGAGTTGGATTGGTTCTTTGTTCATGGTTTGTGCTATCTTTGCAGTTATTGCAGTTAGCTCCGACTTATCTTTATCAGTGTTGGCTTTTGCAGCTTCGTCAGCTTTCTTTTTTTGGCAGTCCTTTTCAAAATGTCCAAGTTTGCCACAAGGTGGGTACGAGCATTTTTTTTCTTGTGTTTTTTGGATTTGTCCTTTTGCCCCTTTTGGTTTTGTTTCAAAAAATTTGGCAGCTTCGCAACTAGTGCGGTTTGAGTACTTGCTGTGCAGGACTTTTTTTTGATTAGGGCTTGGCTTATTACAGTATTTGTGGACAATTTGTCATCGGTGGACATTAAGATAGTGTGGAGGGTTGAATACAAAGGTGGTAATGAGATAATCATGGCTACAGCAATCAATGAATCGTCTAGAGATTGACCCAGGGATGCTAATACATGGGCTTTTTGACGCATGCTATTTAGCTGTGGTTCAAGTGAAGAATCTTCGGAGAGATCCCTTTGCAACAGTTCACCTATAAGGTAAGCTATAGTTTGCTTTTTTTTTCCCTCGTACTGATTGTTTAGCTGAGTCCAGACCTCTTTTGCACTGGTCAGGTATAATACTCCATTCAAAGGTTCGTCTTTCAAGGTAAGGGAGATCTGTGTGCTCTTGCTTCCTTGTTTCGCTGACTCCACTCAGCTTGTTCTATTGGCTTTGTGTCACCTGGGTCAGCGTTGGAAACATCTATGATGCCCATAAGGCCTCGTAGGTCTAAAACCATTTGGATTCTGTATTTCCATACTTGGAAATTTGATCCGTCGATCTCGACTCACGGTATGTCATATAAGCGACTTGAACCATGTGTGGTTTTGCCAGATATGCTGGTAAACATTGTTGTTGCCAGGTTTGCTCCAGCCTGTGATATAGAGGTTGGTTGGGTAGTCATTATAGCTTAATGAGGTATGGTACGAGGTTGAAGTGGTGAGTTCAAGTATGGAGTTGGGCAGGGCTCATAACCTTTTGTTCTGTGAAAATAGATGACAAAACCGGATAAACCCGGTCTCTACTAAAGCAGCCATTGTTCTCCATGGAATATAATGGCTGCTTCATGGAGTCACCATTGTTCTCCATGGAGCATAGCCACCACTCCATGGAGTTACCATTGTTCTCCTAGGAGTCATTATACTGTAGTGAGTAGCACCTCCGACTATAAGTAGTAGGGGGTTTAGTATAGGAATACCTCAGTTGTTTCTATAGCCTCTTAGGCAGCGGCTGAGTTTCACTTAGATTGATTAATAGGAACACTCAGTCCGGGTTTTTTGGAACTGAGGTGGCAGCATGCAGTGTGGCTGAGTATAATGTCTATATTATATAATCTAAAGTCACCTGTTCTCCAATTGCTTCAAGTAGCTGAGAAACGATAAAAAACAACACAATCAGGGGCTAATGAGTGGGCTGCGAGTGGGCAATGCCTTTTGATAGCACTCAAAATGTCATATTACAGGCGCTACCAAAATGAGAACTGGAATTTAATATTTAGAACTTTTAGACGTGGTGGATAAAATATCATATTCACACCGACTTTTTGTGCACTTTACACAGTAAATTTTGGGACTCACTCAAACCTTGAGTGAAATTTGTAACAATAGGTGTCTATTTTTCAACGAATAAATTATATATATATATGCCTTTTGAAAGAGTTAAGAGCTCATATGGGAACTCAATTTTCAGAAAATATTGGTTTTTCCAACTTTTCAGCCACATGATGCCAGGGAGCAGTTGAAGTCAAAGCAGGCCGTATGGCGCTCCAAGTGCACTTTTAATGTGGCGCAATAGAAACTCTAAATTGTGCAGTACACAGACCTAGCTATTCAAATAGTATATACATGTGCTCGCAGTACGTCATCACAACAACGCCATATATACAGACAGATGAGCCACACACATTCTGAGGCAAAAGCTAAACATTAGTTCACCCAACTTGACCAACAAAAATATTATTGCAAGATGTTAAGTAAGGACTGTCTGCTACAAGCAAGGGCAAACGAACAAAAGTATAAACAAAAGTAAGATTAAAGACTGACTAAGCTACAGAAATTTCAACACAAATGAATGGGATGTGCATTTAAAATCTGGGGAAGGGAATGGTGTATTCATCAGCGTATGGATTTGTGCGTTGGGACTCTGAAGCTAACCAGTAAGTCATACTTTTTTCTTTTGTTTTGTTATACTGGTACTTCACAATACATAGTCATATTTCATTTGTACCACCATGGTCCAAGTCGGTGGTCACTTGTAAATCTTTGTATCATTGTATCATCATAGTTTAAACTGATATCATATTATCACTGATTGGCACAACCCGGCCTCGTGACGTAGTGTTTGAAACCCTGACAGAATCCTGACCTTCGGTTTTCGTACTGCATTCATGCAAACTGCAAAATTTGAAAATATGCCAGGCTCAATCAGTTCCTTGAACTCTGTAAAGGATAGTATGGTACGTTTCTCTCACTCTCACTCTCACTCTCTCAACCATTTTCTTGAATATAATAGCTCCATGAAGGGCCAGGTGACCATTGTCATCGCCATCAATATACTATTTTGATGAAGGCTTGTTTCTTTTCCAGGTATTTACATTTTTGCTACTACCATATGCTACAATTTTGCTCTAATTTACTTTCCTTGTTTTAGGTCGAAAATGTGCTGTACAAATTTCACCACAATATTCTATCAACAGTTTCAAAAACACTCAAAAACATGTTTGCAGCCTCTGCAGATGCCCACCTAATTGCTACAGATGGTTCAAGTGATGACCACTCGATTATTCTTCCTACTGTCACGACATTGGCATTTGAAGCATTCCTTTCACTGTGCTATGGCAGGTGAGTCCCAGTAATCTGTCATCTGAGCGTAGTTTTCTAGTGGCTCGTTTTTATCCACAGATGGTCAAGCCCCAGTGGTATGTCTGATGTGGAAGCCACTGCACTGCTTTGTTTCAGTAGCATGTACATGTGCCCACACGCACATATGTATTCCATCCATAAAATCCTTGACCGACAATGGTATTTCAATCCACTCGATCTCATCAAACTGTCGCTTGAATGCAATGCAAAAAAAAACTCTTTTTTCCCGCATTTCAACGACTTATATTAACTCGGCTGAATGACCTTGATCCCAAGGACATTTACACACATATCCCTCAGGTGGTCTATGTTGCACTGGCAACGACAAAGGAAGTTCTTCACAAACACCATAGGATAGTTGCATGTGAACCGCCGGATCATGTACCCAGTTGCTCAGACCGTCGGGGCTGTGATCATGATTGGAGACAGGTGTGGTGGAATGGGATGGGTTGATTTCTCCTTGATGCACGTAATTAGCAGCCCTACCAAGATGCAATCAAACATTTTGAGGCTTTTTTTTTTGGCAGGGTTACTCAAGGGTGTGGGGAAAATATGCTGGCAATGATCAAACAGAAATCAGCTTTTAGACAGGTCAATCAAATAGTTCATAATATATGTAACAACTTAGTGGACCAGTTGATCACCAAGCCTTCCTATGATGACTGAGAGATGGGCTCGCAATCCCTTCAATTATACCAGTAGTGGGCTTGTTTTAATTTTGCCTTAGAATGTGTGTGGCTTATCTGTCTGTATATATGGCGTTGTTGCAATGTTGTACTGCGAGCACATGTATATACTATTTGATTAGCTAGGTCTGTGTACCGCACAATTTAGAGTTTCTATCACGCCACATTAAAAGTGCACTTGGAGCGCCATAAGGCCGTACTCTTTTTGGGAGTACAGTCTGATAGCACGAGTGGAACAATATATATGTTGTCCAATGGTCAACACTTCTTCAACTGTCCTTATGCCCTGAATGAAACAAAAATATGGTGTAGGGCATACCCTGGACCACGTCCCTCCTGGAAAATGGCCACAATGATCCCTCAGAATGAGCAAAAGTCAGTCCCAGAAATCTAACAACCAAGAAGTAGAAGATGAAGGAGAGAGTGTCAGTCAGAGTAGTGGCAATGCCATTTGGAACAGGATCAAAACTACAGCCCTTATCAACTACATCAAGAAACATTGTGCACAAGGAGGGGACGGCCTCAACTTTAGGAGGGCATTTTGGCCAGGGGTGGCAGCTGACATTGCACCTCTCCTTGCAAAAGGACCAGGAAAAAGTGCTACTTACTGTGGTTCAAAATGGGGCAGGGTTTGTAGATGGATATTGTACCCCACCGTACACTATTTGCTAACAAAAATCATGTGTTAATGTAGCTCTGTACCAAATATAATGAAATCAGTGCAATTGCAAACTTATCTGGTGTACCGTGGGACAACAAACTAGGGCTGAATATACTTGAAAAAAGTGAGGCGGTCTGGGCAGAAATTGTTGAGATATGTATCTGGTTTTTACCTGCATGGGGAGGAGTCTGAATCAGCATCAATATGTAGAAAAATCCGAGAGAAAAAGTGTACAAGAGAGAGGGGTGGGTGCATTATAGCGCTATGCAGGAACTGCTGGGGGGTCAGCACACCAAGGGCTCGAATGCCTTTCGCACCCCTAGAGTACCCCGAGCCCCAAAGGTGCTGAAGAAGTCCACATCCACCACCCAGGTATCTACTCCGCCTGTTTCCGCCACCACAAATTCTACCACGCTTATTGCGCCTACACCTGATGCACCCGCCGCGCCTACACCTGATGCACCCGCCGCGCCTACACCTGATGCACCCGCCGCGCCTACTATCTCTTGTGCAGTGCCCACTATTGTGGCTGCTGCACCTGCAATCCCTTGTGCAGCTGTGTCTGACAGAGCCGCAACGGATCCTCCTGGTCACATCAACAACTGGCTTGGTGGCCTTCCCTCCCCAACTTCTGCAGCTGTGCTTCCTCCCATGAGTTTGACCACTTCAGCTAGTAGCAAGTGCTCGGCTCGAGATGCTGAGATTGATATTGATGAAGGCACAACTGTCATCTGCCACAGCAAGAGCGCCAGTGGAAGCAATCAAAGCCAAGGTTCCAACAAATCCCCACACAATACCACTGCCAATGCGTTCATTGGCCTGAACAACAGACTTGGTGAATTCCTCCCCATCATGCGGGACTTCAATACTAAACTAGACATTGGCCTTGGTATGGAAGCTCCCTTTGCTCCCCCTGCTCCTCCTCCCTAAGTCTCCCAGCCAGAAACACCTATTCCAAACCCGGAACATGTCCGTCAAAGCCATGCCATCTCTGCTGTGTTGAAGAATGATCAGTACCTGGGAGTAGATGATTCAGTCAAACTGTTTCAAATTTTTGAGCACAATATTGTAGTTGTAGATACATACCTCAGCCTTTTGCAGAACAATGAGTTTTGCCGTGTCTATGTGCGCTCAAAGCTTGCTATGTAAGTAGTATGATTAGTGGTCTTACCTACAATGTACTTATATCTGTGTTCTCCATACCACAATGAAGTTATTGATGAAGTCAATCCATTCATGCGTGACTTTGAGCAAATAAATATTGTAGTATACTGACTTACAACAACCCTCTCTTTTGCAGCTCGGCTTGATAGTCTACCCACGGCTGTTTGCTGCAAGATGAGCTGCTTCCAGTATTACTTGATATGAAAGCTCCCCGTTATCGCCATTATTGGGTGTGAGAAGATCAGTGTCTTCATTGTTGTCTTTGTCATCGGTCGGATCGTGAGTACGGATGAAGTTGTGAAGGAAGCAAACAGCAGATGGGATGAGAGCCTGCACAGACATATTGTATTCAGGTGCAGCCTTCAAGATTGAAAACTGGCGCTTCAGAACGCCAAAGATACGCTCAATGATGTTCTGAGCCGATACATGGCACAAATTGAAGTACTCTTGCAGGTTCTGGGGCCTTTTAGAAGTGAGCTTAGTCCAAATATATATATTAGGGACTTACCTGCAGTTTCCACCAGCATATTTGGCCAGGTGGTAGTGCACACCTCTGTGTCAGGCAACAAATACGAAGCTATATAACAACAACGGATGTCTGGTCAAGTCCCTAAAGAGGGCGGTGAATCAGAGTACTGAGGTTGAAAAGTATCGGTATAAGCGCAAATCCAAACTAATATAAAACTAAGGAATAATACATTGAGTATGTACTTCCTTATATATTGAACAGCAATGGTCAGACCGAAAGAGGGAAGAGTTAAGAAAGTGGTCTGACTACCCAACTAACCAATAAGAAAAAGGGAGAGAGAAAGTGGTCTGATCTATTGTATTTGCTAATTGTATGAGAGAGAGTATTGGTAAGAGGTGTACAATTGGCTATATCAGTAAGCCCATGAGAAGGCGCTGATTCATAGCCTGCCTTGCTTATCAATATTCCTCTGAAGTATTCCCAAACATAGTGTTGGATCATTGCTATGTCATCTAAATATCTTCTTGAGGGTCTACAACCATTCTTCTTTGTTGTAAGTATGATAGGATATGAGTATGAGTGGAAAATAAGAAAAAGAAAGATAAGAGTAATAGAATGCCGACCGTGATCTGTAGTCCAAGAGCGAGAGGAGTGACAGGGAATGAATCGGATAACCACAACATGATGGGAATGCGATAAGAAAAATTGATTCCTCACACTCTGTAGGGGACAAGGAGCTGGTCACATGAGGGAAATCCTGCATTGGCCAGATAGTATCGGCCACGGGGTATATACAGATCATGGGAGCAGGCATCATGAAAGAGACTGGCATTTGCAGCGGACCCCTCCCACCCACTAAGGACATATGTAAACTGCATGTTGAAATTGCAGCACAAAAGGCAGTTCTGCAAGAACACGCCCTTGCAATTTCACGTAACATCACGCTCTGCAGCCGAAGGGCTGCAGGCAATATGGGTGCCGTCAATTGCACCAATGGCATCCTTGAAGTGGCGAAGTTTTGGGTTGTTGGCAATAGCAGCTGGTGTGGCCTCAGTGGCCTCAGGAAGACGTACATAGGAGTTGTAGATATTGGTGGAAGTGAAAGCCTGAAGCATCCGCTTGAAATACTTGGTGATTGTGTCGTTGGAACATTGAAAGTGTTCAGCAAGATGGCGGGTAGATAGATCGGTGACGCAAGCATACAGAAAGATGGCGGTTTGTTCCTCCAGCATGACATGCTTGGAGTCAGTATACCCATGACTCTGCAGGAAATCAATAAGCTTTACAAATACTTCTTGCTGCATCCCCAACTCAGTCCTTATTCAATCAGGATGACCGTCCATTAATTCTCTAACCCATCCATAACCTGTCAGAATTGAGTTATGATATGGCCTTGGCCGTCGTTGCTGCTCCTGCTCCTCAGCAACAGCTTGAGCAGTTGCAACAATTGACTGAACAAGGATTGACATGAACCTCAACATCTGCAGGCCATATGAGAGGATCTGTTGTCTAGTCAAGGCAAGCTGTGGGTTGGATGGGGCTTGATTTTTGTCCTCTGTTTCCGGACTATGAATTTTTTCTATTTTGTCCATGCAATTAGAATTGGACTCAATATTGAGCTGCAAGACAAATTTTATAATAATGGCTGGTAGCGCTAACTAGGGGTATGTGCAAGAACTTTGCGGTCTGTGCATTTTCATTCTCCGCTCTAACCGGGAGGAGCTGGGCCGAAGCAAAAATCGATTTTTTTGAAAAGTAAGAGTTCTCGTACGAGCTCTAAATGTTTAATAAAATATACTACTTCGAATACAATTTTGGGCCCGACCAAAATTTTAAATTTCAGACGATCAAAATGTTAATGTAAAACCAGACTCCTAAACCATTCTGTGGTTGGTGTTCAAGCTCTCCTAGTGTAGCCACATTTGTATTATATAATCATATTTTTCCGAATTTGAACCAAAACTTCAACACTTGGTTGAACACCCACCGCCGACTGGCGTAATTTACTGTGGCACCAGTTATGGTCTGTTTGGATTCACTGGGATACTCCTAAATACAGCTCCGGAGCCAAAGATATTTGAAGTGTGGGTACTTAATGATTCAATAAAAAAACAATAAATTGAACTCAGCAAAATGAGCATGTCCTCATGGACACAAGGCCATAAACACAACGAAAGGGGTATAAGTGGGGGAGAAAATAAGCTCTACTAATTAGAAAATGAGTGCAATCAACACTATCATCAAGTACATGCAAGAAAACAATATATCTATACTGAAATTAACTGAAGAAATCCTTAAAAGCACCAACCCAGAGTACAAGAAACTTCACCAGTCACTTGCCAGTGAGGCCACTTCTATCTGTGTGAACTTCTATCAAGATTCTTTGGCACATGATGCTGTCAAATCATGGGCTATGTTAGCTGTTATACGGACAATGGAAAAGGAATTGGAAGAGCTCTCACACCAATCTCATGGGCTGCACTTTCGAGCAACAACAGCCACCTCAGAGCAACTGGAAGGCTCTTTTGTGCAGGAGATAGCAGGAAAAATCTGTGCAGTGGCACCAAACCTCTGGATGCTGGTACGAGCAGCCCTCCAAGTCCCAGTAAATAATGGCTCCAACATGAATGTAGACTTGCCGGAATTTGGAGAAATAGAGCGAGACCTTGGGAAGATTGGAGGTGATGATATGTGTGATGTGGATCTTGAAGGCCATGTAAACGAGGCAGAGAGAATGGAGGACTTGGATTCAAGGCCAGTGAGAGATGCAGTTAATCCTAAGGAAAAAATATTAGCGCTTGCAAACATTGTGAGTAATCAAAAAACTGTAGTGTGTTGTGCAATATGTTAACATATAGATTAGCGTGCTGTAGTATGTATTAGTATTATGCTGCAGAGTGTAAACATGCGGTGTAATCACTTACAAGGAATTTTTGGGATCTTCTATCACTCTACATGCGTGCCGGAGAAGGTTGTGGATGTCCTCTGCCATGCAGGCATATCCATTAGTATGGCCTCCATACTAAACACTATTAAATCAATGTCTAAAGAATCAAGCCAGAAGATTAAATGCACCATACGGTCTCTAACTACCACACTTGCCTATGATAACTTCGACATCAGCTTCAAAACAGCACAACCAACCATTGAGATATTAAGAACAAAGCTTGAAGGAAGTGTCTAGCCACTTGCTGAGAGCAATCAGGGACTGGAACTAGAGTCCAATGTGAGTAACTAGATTATTAGAGAGTATGACAGGTATACAGTACCTAGAGTCCAATGTGAGTAACTAGAGAATAGGAAGCATTGGACTCTGCAGTACTGTCCGAAGTTTTGTAAACAAAGGTAAACAAAGCAGCCACAAAGGCGAAATAATAGAGAACACGATCAATAGTGAATGATAGAAGAATAGATAGAGAAAGGAATGAAAATATATAGGTAGCACAAAGGTGCAGAATCACCAAAACTAACATGAGAACCAGAACTCATTTGTCAGCACCACCTCTGCAACATCTGACAAAACTGGATAAACCCGGTCTCTGCCGAAGCAGCCATTGTTCTCCATGGAGTAACCATTGTACTCCTAGGAGTCATTATACTGTAGCGAGTAGCACCTCCGATTATAAGTAGTAGGGGGTTTAGTATAGGAATACCTCAGTCATTTCTATAGCCTCTCGGGCAGTGGCTGAGTTTCACTTAGTTTTATTAGGTTATGAGCCCTGGTGCGCAAAAGCTACGCAGGAAATAATTCTTATTTGAAACGGCAACCTTGGAACCATGACCACAGCACATGATACATTTGCATGTCCAGTTCTCACTGGACCCAACAATTTTCAGATATGGAAACTCCAGATCATCTCAAAGCTACGTCAGGAAAAAGTTCTCCGGGTTGTTACTGGAGAGGAGCTTAAGCCCTCACCAGGAAAACCTACCTCCTTGGAGGATCCTGAGATCACCTGGATACTTAAGGATGAGAAGGCACACGGAATCATCCAGGACCACATCTCTGATGTCCTCCTAATAAGGACTGGAGACCTTACCAGCTCCAAGGAGTTATTTGATAAACTTGTCTCACTCCATCAAACATCCAACATTGCCTCGGCCTTCTATTCATTCCAGCAACTCACCAAATTGTCCTGGGATGGGACATCACCTATCCAGGACCACATTGCGAAAATCCGGACAATTGGTTCACACCTCTCCGGAATGAAACTAAGAGTTGATACCAAACTCATGGCTTTTGCTCTTCTCCAATCTCTCCCATGCACTCCTGAATGGCAAATATTTCAGTCATCAGTAATCAACACGATTGAAGAAAATAAACTTACCTTTGATGCAGTTGAGATCCGGATCACTGCAGAAGTTGCACGACAGTCAGGGAAGGCCCCTGGAGGTTCCGAATCAGCACTCAAATCCGAGGAGAAATGGTGTAACTTCCACAAAGCCAAATCACACAACACCTCGGAGTGTCGAACACTTCAGTCAGCTGAAAAAGGTCAAAGGAAGAAGGAAAAGGAAAGACACAAGGATAAAGGAAAAGAGAAGGAAAAGGCAAATACAGCGGAGCAATCATCCGGATCTGACTCCGAGGAGGAACAAAGTCATATTGCATTGGATCATGTACATATTTCCAAGCCCCTTGCTAAATGCATTCAAGCTTACCTTGTGTTGGAACCCGATAAGACCAAAACAACAATTATTATTGACTCCGGAGCAACATCCCACATGGTCCCTCACCGCTCCTGGTTTGAGCCAGGAACATACCATGTTCTGCATCCTCCAAGGACAATCAGTTTTGTGGATGAATCCTCTGTAAATGCCATTGGCATTGGAACAGTAATCCTACAAGCAACTGTTGGCAATAAGGACTACAATATTGCACTGTCAAATGTCTGACTTGTGCCAAACTTCACTTTAGCACTCGTCTCTGTCCACAAATTGTCCAAAACGGGGTTATCAACACTTTTTCCAGCAGGGTCAAACACTTGTGAAGTTCGGAAAAAGGAGGAACTTATCCTCACTGCGTTACACAAGCGAGGACTTTATCACATCCAAGCAAAACCCAAAATCAACCCGGAGTCAGCTTTTGCAGCAGTAGATGTAAATTTATTGCACAGGAGAATGGGACACATTGGAATGGACTGCTTGCAACGAATGGTTACAAAAGGACAGCTCCAGGACATAGACACCCTTACCGGAACCCCGGAGTTTTGTGAACCTTGTGCTTTAGGAAAGATGAAGAAATTACCTTTCAAGTCCACTGGAGGAAACCGAGCCAAGCGCCCCATACAAATTGTGCACACAGATGTTGGAGGACCAATCAAACCAACTTCCAGGGAGGGTTTTTGGTACTGGATTATTATTGTAGATGATTTCTCCAAATTTCCATGGATATATTTCCTAAAACATAAAAGTGAAGCACTGGAATGATACAAGCAATGGAAAGAAGATGTCCGAACATTCTTCCGGACTCATTTGGGAGAAGAAAACTTCACTCCACTATACACAGAATTCCTCCGGAGCAATGGGGGAGGAGAATATACTGGCAATGCATTCAAAAATCAACTCCAAGAAGATGGTGTCATCCAAGAAACTACAGCTGCAGATACTCCGGAACAAAATGGCATTGCAGAACACATGAATCAGACATTGGCTACATTAGCAACCACTATGCTCCATGATTCCAAGCTCCCAAAGTCATTTTGGGTAGATGCCATGCAAACAGCTGCATATATCACAGCACGCAGCCCAGCATCAGGACTCCATGGAAAGACCCCATATGAAATACTGTTTAAAAGGAGAGTTGATCCAACTTTGTTTCGCCCTTTTGGATGCCAAGCATATGCCTTGATTCCAAAAGACAAAAGGCAAGGAAAGTTTTACTCCAAGGGGCGCAAAGCCATAATGATTGGCTACACACATGGAAAGCAAGCCTACAAAGTCCTAGACACTGAAAAACGGACTGTGTTTTCCAGTTGGCATGTCATATTCAATGAATCTGGAAAGGTAAAAAAGGATGACACTGCTCCCTGGAACACAGACACTAGCACAAATCAGTGGGAGGGACTCATTCCAGAGAATGCTCACTATCCAGACCAAAAAACATTGGAGGAGGATGATCCTGACCCTTGGATCCGAGATCCAAATGAATTGCAAATGGAACCACATCTCCAAGGAGATGTTCCACAAGCAATGAAACCATATCAGCATGAAGATGTTCCGAGAGCAGTGGGGCAATACCTCCGTGGAGACATTCCGAGAGCAGTGGGAGCACCTGATCAGCTAAGACACCCTCCACAACAGTCTCTACAACCAAGACCTGAACACTGGCCATCTTCAGAATGGAAAGCCAAAGTAGAGTTACAGTCAGTGGGAGGACAGCCCCTCAACATACAGCCAGCTGATGTGGAAAAAGTCCGGATACAGCTAAACAGCCTGTCCATTGGATCAGCTTCTGGAAGGCATCCAACACCTCCGAGGAGTGATTCAACACCTTCAGGAGTGAGTGGGGCAACACACACACAAATGTGTCTACTCCCTGGAGTACCTGCACAAGTTCCTAAAAGAGCAGTCATGCCTGCTGAAGTCCTAGGAGTACACAGAAGCAGTCGCCAGACCCGTCCTGCAGACAAAAACCGAGATTATCAAAGGACTCTAGATGAGGAACAGTCTCGAAAAGAGCAGCATGACAACTCCATGGAGAAACCTAACACTCCTGAGGTTCATGAAGAAACATCTGATACAGAGGAGACATTCTTTGCTGGAATAGCAAGTACCGGTCCATCTAACACAGACCTTCCAAGGACACTAAAGGAAGCCTTATCACGTCCGGATGGAGAATTATGGAATTCTGCCTTGGAGGAGGAACTCCTAAGTCTCAATACCAATGCACTATATGACACTGTTCCACTTCCAAAGGGAGTAAAACCTATCACATCAAAACCTGTGTTCCGGATCAAGTTTGATCAAAACAGAAACATTGAGAGATACAAACTCCGGATTGTTGCACAAGGTTTTACTCAAAGGGAGGGGATTGATTACCAGGAGGTTTTTGCTCCGGTTGCAAACTTAGAGTCAATCTGAATTATTCTAGCCCTGGCAGCAAAGTACAACCTAGAACTTGATCAAATGGACGTATCCACAGCTTATCTCAATGGAGAACTTGAAGAAGAACTGTACATGCTTCCTCCAGGGGGTGTTTCTATCCAACCTGGATACTGCTGGAGATTGAAGAAATCCATCTACAGGTTAAAACAAGCTGGTTGTACATGGAACAAAACTTTTGATCGCAAGCTTCAGGAGCTCGGTTTCACAAGACTAAATGCAGAAACATGTCTCTATGTATTCCTGGACAACAAACAAATATGCTTTGTTGTTGTCTATGTAGATGACCTCCTTCTAGGAGCTTCATCTCGAAAATTCATGAATATCACAAAAGCCAAACTCGAATCCATATTCAAAATGCAGGACCTTGGAGAAGCAAAATACATCCTCGGAATAGAAATCCAACGTGATTGTTCAAACAAAACAATATCCCTATTGCAACGCCAATACATTGACACAGTCCTGGAGCGTACTGGAATGAAGAACTGCAAACCAGTATGGACACCAATGGCCCATGGATCAAAACTCCTTGCAAATGCTCCAGGGGAAGATATTGTGCAACACGAGATGCATATTGAAGGGTGTCAAGTGTCATACCTCTCAATTGTAGGCTCATGGAACCCGCCCAGACATTGCCTACGTTGTTGGAATACTAAGCAGACATAGCTCAGCTCCAAGGAGCCATCACTGGGAAGCTGCAAAATGTGTCCTCCAATATCTGAAAGCAACCAGGGACATGGAACTACAATATGATGGCACAGATGTCTCCATGGACATGGATTTCTATGGATATTCAGATGCAGATTGGTCTGGAGACCCAGACACGTCTCGATCAACATCAGGATTTGTTTTTATCACCATCCGAGGAGCAATCTCCTGGACAAGCAAAAGACAAAGCATGGTAGCTTTATCCTCCACGGAGTCAGAGTACATTGGATTGTGCAATGCTGGACAACACCTTGTATGGCTTTGGACATTTTTTGAAGAAATTGGACATGCTCAAAATGGACCTACAACATTGCACTGTGACAATCAAGCAGCTATCATTCTTACACGAGATCCACAGTTCCGTGCTTGCACAAAACACATTCAACAGAAATATCATTTTATCCAAGATGACTTAGTATCAAAGGGAGAGGCAGTGATCAGATACATTCCTACAGGAGATATGGTTGCAGACATTCTCACTAAACCCCTCACTCACGAAAAACACTGGAAATTCTCTAAAGCTATGGGACTACGGTTGCACTCGAGTGGGAGTGACAAAACCGGATAAACCCGGTCTCTGCCCAAGCAGCCATTGTTCTCCATGGAGCATAGCCACCACTCCATGGAGTCACCATTGTTCTCCTAGGAGCACAATTATACTCCTAGGAGTCATTATACTGTAGCGAGTAGCACCTCCGACTATAAGTAGTAGAGGGTTTAGTATAGGAATACCTCAGTCGTTTCTATAGCCTCTCGGGCAGCAGCTGAGTTTCACATAGGTTTATTAAATAAGTGGCTCCAAAATCATCCGTACTGAGGCATGGAAAAGTCTTTGAACATGTGCTGTCTTCTTCTTTGTTGTCAAGCCTTTTTTCACCAATTTATTGACAGACAGATATTCAATAAGTACACAAGCATGCTGAGAGGGTTTGCATCCAATAGAGCTGGGTATATTGCCTAGTGTAAGATATACTGGATATGCAGACTTGTTGCCTGAGAACCGAGTCAACTGAGTTTTGTCTGTTGCTATTATAACAGGAGCAACAGATGCTCCCTGAGGTAGAAGAGCCTAAAATCAAAGAAATAAGTATGAAATTTGGAAAGGAACCACTGGCATGGATATATTAACCTGTACAGAATGCCACCATTTGCCAGTCCACATCTCATTAAATATACAATCATCGCTGTTGCTGTTTGTGAATATTCTTGAGGGTTTATAGACTATGTCTGTTGCATGTGCTGGATTGCCCAACAAAGACGCAATGGCTTGTAAGGGGTCTCTATATTGTATAAGGTGTTTTTTTTCTGGACGATCATCAAAGTGTAGATATTTTGAGTGCCATTTGGCTCTTTCAGGAATTTTGGAGTCAATAATTTTTAGAAGGCTTCTGCTATTTTGATAAGAAAGGCCCAGTCTCTGGGAAAGCTGGTGTAAAGGTTGGAGGTCAGTTAACATAAAACATGAATCAAAGTGTGGAGGCGTCACTCACTTCAGGAATTGCCAGTAATCTGTCAAGAGATTTCTGGCCAACCCCCTCCTGCAATGCCAAATGTGCAAATTTCCAGTCTAATTCTGTGGAAAATAGAGCCCATCTATTATCTGGAAGATCAATGTCCATTTCATCGTCATCTTGATGGAACTGGTGAAAACTCTCCCTCCATTTATTATGAGCATCCAGATCCACCCTTATAACCTTGCCAGCATTCTCATTTTGTTCCACTACTCTTTCATCATCATCATCATTGTCATCCAGATTAAAGTGCAGGGAGTGGGGGTGACGTGAACTGCCAGCCTGTATCTCTGGGTCAGGGTTCAAGTTATCCTGGATATTGCCTTGCATTGCAGGATCATTCAGGAAATTGTTAAATGGTTTATGTAAGCTGTTGAGGAATATATCTTCTGACCCATCTGAGTCATAATCTTGTTGGTCGTAAACATTTTCATCCAAGTTGACTTCATCAAATACTACTTGTTCAGGGCCTAGGTTGTCTGCCTCAAGTTCTCTTCTCTTTTCTTTCCTATACCAAGCACACATTGCTGACATTGATAGGTGAGCCATGACACCTTGTGGTGTTTTCAAAAGTTTTCCACATGCAGGACATGTGCGATCAACCATACTTGGTACGTGTGCCATTTTTTCCTTGAACCTATATTACACCATACACATCCAGTCAGTTTATGAAATAATAACACCAGTTAATATGAAATTGATACCTTTGATTATCTAGGACCCGTTTGTAAATATGCTGTTGAGATGCAACACCTCAATCTGCACCGGCAATATCCCAAATTGGAAATATGTAGTGGTAAAACATAGAATTTGCTTGTTCTAATACAAATAGAAGTCGTACATGTCTAAGTACAATATTATTTACAAGCACAGAGTACAAGAACAAGAGAAGTAATACATATAATGTTGTCCATGTATGTTTTTCACTTCCTCCTTGTGACATTGTTGCTGGAGCTACCTACACCCAATTTCTGTTGAACAAGCCGACCCACTTCTTCTTCAGAGTGAAAAGGACTCCTTCTCCTAGCTGCCTTAGCATGACTTCGGGGGGTATTATAATGATCCTGAAAACGTCTATGTGCCAGATCAGCTACAGATCCTTGAAAAGCCTGAAGAAAATCGTCAAAATCCAGCTGGATATTGAAGACTGAGAGATCAATGGGAGATATCTCTTTAGGCAATACTTGGGGTGCAAATGGGGAGTAGGTAGAGTAGTAGTGGGCGTGCTCAAATGGGTACCAGTCTGAAGAGGACAACCAGTGCGGTTTGCTATCAAATCCTGGGTAGCAACCTCTAGCGCTGCTATCTGAGCAGCTGCACTTTCAGCTTCTAGGTTAGCGATAGTCTGGGGCGCACTCCTCATAATCGTCTCCATCTCCATAATTGACCTGGTAATAACACAATTGAAAACTTTGTTGAATTCGTCTTTCTGGGCTTGAGTGGGATAGAGTTGGCCCACATCTATATTAGGTACCACCCTCTGTACATATATTATATTAGTCAAAAAAGGTTGTGATCAAGAGGGGACGCACCAGTACTACAGGTGTAGGAAGATCCCGTGCATAGCCCTCCTTCCCTACAACCTTTGGGTCCTTTTCATACAGGTACATATCCACCACAAATCTACCCGCCCATGTTACGCCATCAGCTGTCCTCAGAGGGCCATATTTAATATTATCATCCTTTTGTAAGTTGTACCAATACTGCATGTTGACGGGTTTAGCGTACCCATATTGGGGCTTTGCGTATTTGTGGGACTCGTAGAATTTGACCACTAGAATGCCAACAAGGTGGGGGAGCTCCTCCCAGTACTTTTTCACCTTCTGGGTGACGTCCCCAAGTGATTGGGAGTGGGAGACCTCGACAATGAACAAGTCCTGCCACTCAATGCTAGGGTTGAGGCTTTGGAACTTGAGGGCTAAGTCGGGTACAGTGGTGATTTGACCTCGCCAGAGGAACTTGAACATATTAGAACTCAACTTGAACATCCCATCTGACCATCTGATAAGGCCTGACAGTTTCCCCTGTAAAAGTTCACTGAGGCGCTCAATGAAAACTCCATGTACAGGAGTAGGCATGCTCAGTTGCAGGATGCCTTTCACATGGTCATACATATATCTGAAAGTAGGGACATAAGTACAGTATACTCACTCACAAAAAATCATACCTTAAAGTGCTGTAGTCACTTTCTCTGAGCTTGTCCACAAACTCAGGGAAACTTGATGGTTCAATATAGAATTGCTAGGGGGAAAAATCAGATCAGGAATGTAGCCAGACAATGATTTCTCACCTGGACATATACGTCCTGAGAATTATACTTCAAGTTCCTATCGATTTGCTCAATGATGGGCTGGACTTGATCCTCAGATGTAGTGATTGGTGCAGTATGGGTGGACATTGAAAGAGTGGATGTTGATAGATTACTCGGGGGAGTGGCGAAAGATTGTTGTTGAGTAGCTGTGCATTGCCATCAGGTAATTTTTTGAAATTAAATAACTGACTTACCCTCTGGTCCAGGAGAGGACTTTGACCAAGTAATAGGGGGTATACCAGTAGGTAGCACTATTTCCAGTGGAAGTGGAGGATTTTGTGTACATGGGGGACAGGTGCATTTTTGCAGACTGAGAATGGGATGTTCTGCTGAAATATGTCTCAGTGCTCAGCCAACCAAGTAAGTAGTTTTAAAAAACCCATGAAACTCACTTCATATCTAAATATTTGCACCAATATGTAGGTGTAAGCGGGCGGGCAAGGAAGAGAATGATTCAAAAGATGATAAGCGGAGAGCTGCCCACATCCACAGCTGGAGGTGTGCAGTCGCATTGTTCCATGCGGTGTGAGAAAGGGGACAACAGCTGATCTCTTTTCTCACACTGCATGGAATCAACAGGTTGCTATTGCGAAAAGCTGATAATCACTATGAGAAAAATAGTAAGTCTCTGTTCATTCCACCTCAGTATCAGCACTCACCGCATATGATTGCAATAGTGAATACCCAATGAGCCGTGAGAGAATGGACAGTCTGTTGCTCTCAGCAAGGTATCTCCCTGGAAAGCCTTTGGAGGGATCTCCCTCAGCCTAAGCCGTCTAAGAAACAGTTTGAGCAATGGCATGCTATGGGCTGCAAGTTTGCAGCCATAGCAGCCGGTGGTAAGATTACCTTTGTCCACATTAAACCATACTTACAAATCTATGTAGGATCTATCTATGCCCTTGTTTTGGTTGCAGGCTTGAACTTACGGGTTCAACTTGGTGAAATGGACGGAACGACACCATGAGAGATAGCCAATGTCTTTAGGTGGCCAGTTGAATGTAAGTGTACTACTTCTTACTGCGTGTATGCTAAATAAACAATGTTATGCAGCTACTGTGAGTGGACAGCTGGTGATTAGTAGAATCATCCCAACTATTTCTAGCTTACACCAAAACCTGCCACTGAACATGAACTGCATGTTCGCACCTGGCGTGCTCAGTTTTATGGCCTTCCTGCCAATATTGATTGCACAAATTTTGTCCAATTCAAGTATGTTACAATCATTTGATTCTAACAGTTTCTGATTTTTTTTGGTTTTTTGTAGTACTTTCCAACTCTTGGATCGTCGTCTAGATTGTTGGGGAGTCTGTATGCACACTATAGACATAGCTCATGTACCCATATATTATCATGGTCAGGCTATCTGAGGTGTAGGTACAAGATCTTTAGTACACTTCCTGACTCCCTTATCCGACCTTGACGACATCCTGCCTTGTTCTCAACCACCATCACCATCATTACCACCAGTTGTCCTCCCTGAAATGTATGTGGTTAGCACAACATTCCAGAATATGGCTGAAGGCAATCGCCAATACTCTGCCCCATGGGATCCTGGCGATAACTATGAGTGGACATGATCAGAAAGAGAAAGGGCAAGTTGAGCCATCAAGGTCACAGATGTGGAGGACCTGACAGCCAAGGTATGTCATTGTCATGTATGTAGTGTACACAATCTCAATGCTAAATACTTGTTCTTAGATACAGAAACATTATGATGGGGGTGTTTGTACAGACCCCTCAGCATACTTGTATATACCATCCTCAATAGTTCCCTCCATTCCTCTTCTCTTGAAAAACAGCGATGATTCGCTCATGTTATTTTTAAACAGCTTTATGCCAGAATCAATTTGCACCACTCTCCTGCCTAACTTCCAGTCCTGCCTAGGCTCCACCATATCTCTACATCATATAGACTCAGCTGTTGAAGGTGAAGGCTTCACATTTGAAGCTCTACATTTCTCTTGGTACAACCGCCATTGTACAAAAGTGAGTTCTTTTTTTTTTCCCATTTACAAACTATGCTGAATCAATGAAGGGAAATGACGCACCCAATGATATTCCCCCTTTGATGATGAAGAGAAAGTATGCCTCGAGAACAAATTATTCGCAGCTTATCCCCTATACGTCCAAGGAGATTCAAGATCACGCTGACATTTACCAGAGACTTAAAACAGTATTTGCTGATCTCTTTGAATGGATAAATGAAATGGTGAGTGACATTGTTTTTGATTAATTTACAGGATAATCTGCTGATACCATTGATGTAGCTTGCTACTTATCTACCTGCTGAATATTTGGTACTCAGACAACATGCTGAGTTACTCCCTGGTAACAATGCCTCTGCTGTCTGCCCATTCTTAGGTCTTGTGGTCAATATCAATGTTTCAACCAAGGCTCACAGGGAAGCCAAGGACAAACTCTTTTGTCTAGTTATACCACTGAGTAAGCATGAAGGGGGAGAGCTTTGCCTTGTTGAGCCTGGCTTGGTGTTGCAGATGAGAGAGGGGGATATTGTGCTCTTTCGCTCATGTGATATAACTCATTTTAACTTGCACTTCAGAGGGCAGAGGGGCTCAATTGTCTTGCAAACTGACAAAGAGATGGATAATTGGAGGAATGGGCAAAATAGATGGGCTGGTCATTCTTCTTTACATTGATAACTATGGACTTTGTACTGCATTTTTTTTTTTTGACCTTGATACTCTTAGACGTTTACCAATTGTTTGATCCAGAGTTTGTCACTAATTGTACTAGTGTATATTTGTTTGTTGTATCACTTTTGAGAAAAAAATTCTCAAAAAGTTAAAAGGTGTGAGGGATGAAATGTTCCACTGTTTGCTAATTCCTCATTTTCTAAATTGCGGCCAAGAGGGACATATGTCCCGAGATTGCAGAAATGGGGTGCAGGCCGCCCAATAAAAAAATAACCAAGGGCGCCAGGCGCACCAATTAAAAACTGAAAAACTGGACAATCGGCTCAATACTCTGGCCGGTCGTTCGTACAACAAAATCCGAGCTTTCTTCTATGACCAACAGGTCAATAAAATAAAAGCTCAGGGAAAAGAGTTTGGAGCTTAGGTCACTTGGGTGCCTTCACTCCTATGAACAATAAAGTAAACCACAACAAAGTGGCCCCTGCTCCGGGGTGTTGCATGAGCAATAATGGAAAGAAGGGGATGGCTCCCCAATTTCTAAATAAATTTCTAAATTTGTTATCTGAAACCTGTACCTGTATGAAGCATTGTGACTGTAATATTTATAATACTACCACTGCACCAGCATCTCCCTTGGAGTGTGGCCCCGGCGTGACAAACAATAGGGTGCTTGATTCTGGTAAAAATAAAATAGAAAAACATGTAACTTTTGATACCTCTTCTTCTTCATTGGAGCCACCCTTTCCCAAAATCCCAAAGTGTGTGTTGATGCGCACGTATTTATTCCAAAAAGAGATCTGTTTAGACGTTGGTGTGGAAAACCTTGCCCGGGGCATAGTACACCCAGCCAGTGCACTGCGTGATTCAGGCGCTAACGGAATCTTCATAGATCAGGCCTGGGCAGAGCAAATTGGACTCCCCCTTGTAAAATTAGATGTATCTATTCCCGTCTATAATGTTGACGGTACACTTAACGCGGGTGGCTGCATCACGCACAAATGTTCTTTTGTTGTCGAATACCAAGGACACAGAGAACGAGTCACCGCCGAAGCTACCCAACTAGGGAAGATTAATTTAATCTTGGGCTAGACCTGGCTATTTAAACACAATCCTGAGATCAACTGGCAGACAGGGGTTGTCACACATTGTCACATTGCCCTCAGAAATGTGTGAACTTGGGTAGGCCAAATCACGTCCGTCACAATGAGCGTCTTGAAAAGATAAACGCTGGTCACGTTTATGAGCTCAGATCTTTAGAAAAGATCGACAATGACAATGATGAGGTAAAACCCAAAGAAGAGATTAAGAGGCTGGTACCTCCCAAGTACCATGACTTCTGGAAAGTCTTTTCTAAATATAAATCAGAGCGCTTCCCAGAGGCTAAGCCTTGGGACCATGCAATAGATTTGAAGGACACTTTCAACCCGAGAAAAGGACACATGATTCCCCTCTCTGCTCCAGAAAGAGATGAGGTCTCAAGTTTCATAAATAAACAGCTTAGGAAGGGTTACATCAGACCTTCCAAAAGCCCTTTGACATCCCCGGTGTTCTTCATCCCTAAAAAGGATGGTAAAAAGCGCATGATTATAGATTATTGTTATGTGAATGAGCACACGGTTAAAAATGTGTATCCGCTGCCTTTGATCAGTCAGCTAGTAGACAAATTGGCTGGCGCCAAAATCTTAACAAAGATGGATCTCAGATGGGGGTACAATAATGTACAGATCAAAGAAGAAGATGCTTAGAAGGCTGCGTTCATGTGCCACCGAGGATCCTTCGAACCCCTTGTTATGTTCTTTGGGTTGACCAATTCACCGGCGACTTTCCAGAGCATGATGAATGAGATCTTTGCTGATATGGAAAACTGTGTCGCCATTTACATTGACAATTTGTTGATATTTACGAAGTCGGATGATGAGGCTGAGCATGACAGGATCGTGCAAGAAGTCCTTTGACGCTTACAGGAACGGGACCTATTCGTCAAACCCGAAAAATGTAATTTTAAAGTGAAGGAAGTAGACTTCCTCAGTATGATCATAGGCCAGAACGGAATCAGGATGGATCCTGAGAAAGTTCAAGCCATATTGGACTGGCCAGCACCTACTCGCGTAAAAGGAGTTAGGGCCTTCCTTGGCTCAGGAAATTTCTACCGAAGGTTTATCGAAAACTTTGCGGAAATCACGAGACCGTTGAACGATCTCACTAAAAAGGATATTGTTTGGCACTGGGGCGCCAAAGAACAAGAAGCTTTTGATAAGATTAAACAGGCATTTACAACAGCGCCCATATTAGCATTTCCAGAATTAGACAAAGAGTTCCGGCTAGAAACCGACTCTTCTGATTTTGCTACTGGGGCTGTTTTGTCAATTAAATGCCCTGACAATCTTTGGAGGCCTTGTGCCTATTTATAACATAGTTTGTCGCCTACGGAGTGCAACTATCAAATTTACAACAAAGAGATGCTGGCCATCATTAGAGCCTTAGAGCACTGGCAGCACTACTTAGAAGGTGCTAGACACCAATTTGAAATTTGGACCAATCATAAGAATCTAGAGTATTTTATGACGGCCCGAGACTTGAACCGAAGACAGGCCTGCTACGTGGTATACTTGTCAAGGTTTAATTATAAATTAATTCATAAGCCTGGAAACTCTATGGGGAAAGCGGACACTTTGTCCAGAAGAGAGGATCAAACGGCATCGAAGATGACAACAAAGGTGTTACCCTGATAGACCAATCAAGGGTTGCCAATGTTAGAATTGGGCAAGATTCCGATCTTCTGGAAGTCTTCAAGAAAAACATCTCCTCAGAAGAGAAGGTGCGCCTTGATGGCAATGAAAACTATTTATGGGAAGACGGACTCTTCCATTTTAAAGACAAAATCTATGTGCCTGAGTCTGCAAGGATCAAGGCAATAGACAGACATCACAACACTCCAGTGGCTGGGCACCCTGAGTGGCAACGAACAATGGAGTTGATCTCCAAAAACTATATGTGGCCTGGCATGGTCAAAGACGTACAGGAATACGTAAAATCCTGTCTGAGATGTGCTATGGCTAAGAATTCTCATCAACCACCGGCCGGTAAACTTATGCCGAATCTGATACCAGCTGGTCCCTGGCAAGATATATCGGTTGATTTCACAACAGATCTGCCCGAGTCAAATGGGTATGATTCAGTAATGGTGGTAGTAGATCGCTTCTCCAAGGAAGTAGTATTCATTCCCACCAAAAAAACCATTACCGCCGCTGGTACGGCAGATTTATTTAAAGACTTCGTATGGTCCATCCATGGATTACTAGAAATGGTTATTTCCGATAGAGGACCTCAATTTGCTAGCAAATTTACGAAAGAATTATGCCGGATGCTGGGCATCAAACCTAAATTATCAATGGTGTTCCATCCGCAGACTGATAGGCAAACGGAGAGACTCAACCAGGAGTTGAAACAATATCTCTGGATATTTATTAATGACAGGCGGACAGATTGGGCCAAGTGGCTAAAGATAGCCCAATTCTCTTATAATATCAAACAGTCGTCAGCTACAGGAAAGGCACCATTCAAGGTTACTAGATTGTACCTCCCCAGAATGGGTGTAGAACCTGGAAAAAGCAAGAACGAGGCTGCTGGGAACATGGCCAAAGACATGAAGTCTGTCTTAGACGAAACGTGCAAAGCGCTATTCAAAACTGCAAAGCAGATAAAAGACAGTGCAGAGCGTAGATGCTCCAAGGCCCCTGACTACAAGGTTGGCGACCTGGTCTGGTTAGAAACCAACCACTTAAAGTTAAAAGATTGGCAGTCTAGAAAACTGACCAAAAAGTGGATTGGCCCTTACCGGATTAAGGAAGTCAAACCCAATGCAGTGGAGCTGGAACTCCCAAAACGAATGAGGGTAGTACCCACGGTCAACATTAGCCATGTGAAACCCTACAAAGGGCCGCTGCCAGGACAGCGTGTAGACCAGCCCGGACCGGTTGTAGTCACCCAGGAAGGTGAAGAAGAGTTCGAAGTCAAACGGGTGGTGGATGCACGCTTGAAGCGTGGTAAAATAGAATTCCTAGTCCTATGGAAAGGCTATGGAGACAAGGACAGAACATGGGAGCCAGAAGCCCATCTGGATAACTCCCGCGACGCTGTTTGCAAATTTTATTCTAAGAACCCCTCAGCTCCTAGGAAGCTTAGAGGCATGGACTCAAAACTTTTTAATTCCCTTTTTCAACCTATGCCCAAAAATTTAACTACCACCTCCAGTATTTAGTTTCGCCTGGAAGTCGAGCCTTAGAAGGGGGGTAGTGTTACGACAACACAATTTTCGGACCTTTCCTTTAAATTTTCATTCTCCGCTTTAACCTTTTACTATAGTTTACACTCCGTGCCATACAGCACTTTCCTTTTTCGTTCTAACTCCACCTTCTCGTGCAGCGCTGCCTTTATTCTTCTTTTAGACTCAAACTCTCTCACGCAGTGGAGCTGGTCACATGGGCTGCGCCCTCTGACATCATCAGCCACTGCCTTTATCAACTGTACAGTACATAGGTACAAACACTCTGTATTAGTATAAATACCCCAATAGATCAAGGAGACTCCTCAGCAAGTCCTCCTGTTGTTAACCAACAAACTCTCTGCAGCCTAAGGGGTAACCACTCCCTCTTCACTACCTTTATAGTGTGTTCCTGTGTGCGCCAGAGTAACTAACTCTTGGTTGTTACACACTGTCTGTGGTTTTGTCATTGTTGAAATCTGGGATGGTGAGGGATGTGTTAGATGGGATTAGATGTACTTGAGGTGAGCTTGTTTTTTCTATCTGTTTTGTCACTTGACTCAATGCTTGCTCCCTTTCAGTAGTGCCTTGCAATATGACCCGTGTATGTGCAAATTCTCCTCCCTTGTCAAAAATAATGTCTCTGGATTCAATGAGTTTCTCTGATCCTCTGTGCAAACAGATGTGAGTGTGCCTATGCTCTGCATATCCAAGGTAAACATATTCCAGCGTCTTTGCATCGCGTTTTGCACGTTTTTTATCAGGTACGTGCACAAATTCCTTGCAGCCAAAAGTTTGCAAGTGTGATACTAATGGTTTGTTTCTGTTGGAGGCTTCATGTAGTGTCTTGTGCTCCTGCAGGGTGTGTGTAGGCACTTGGTTGATGACATGTGCTGCATGCATTACAACTTGTGCCCGGTAGGACTTTGGCAGGTTTGCTCCATCCAGCATGCTCCATGCCATCTCTATGATGGTGCGGTTCATGTGTTCCACTACACTGTTCTCTTGAGGTGTGTATGCATTGGTTCTTTTGTGGTGTATACCTTTGGACTTTAGATATGCTCCAAATTCTTTTGACGCATATTCACCTCCCTTGTCGCTTCTGAACAGGTAGGCTTGTAGACCCATTTTGTTTTCTGCTTGTTCAAGGTACTCTTTGGTGCACACTAAGGCCTTGTCCTTTGTTTTCAGCAGTTTCACAACCAACTTGTGTGAGTATCCATCAATAAATGTGATGAAGTACCTATGTCCTGAGCGTGTGGCTATTGACATGTTGCATATTATGCTATCCTTCATATCAATTTCCTTTATCCATTGATCCTCTTACTTACTTCTAACATATTTTCTATCACCTTTCATAATCACTGAACTTTCCCACACTTACCAGAAAACTCGTTATTGTATCGGCTTGAAAGGATGCTGCATAGGCTTGTTCAGTGATGCAAGGAACAGTGTCAAGGATGTATAGGTCCATCTTTTTGTGGGCTAATGCAGCCGTTTGTCCCTTTACCAGGATCCGACAAGAGTTGTCTTCAAAAGTGACAAGGTAACCTCTGTTTGATAACCTGGAAACTGACAACAGATTGTTGTTCAGTTTTGGCATATAGTAAATATCTTGTAGGATGGTTTTGTGGGTGGAGTCTTTGTTCACAGCTACATCCAGTTCAACGTGGCCTATTCTAGTGGCTAGGATAGTGCTCTCATCTCCAAGGATGACTCATTCAGGTGGATTAATTTCATTGAAGCACACCAAGCATAACTGACTTTTGTCACACCCAAAATTGAAAAAAAATCCTGAAAGTAGTTAAAATATTTGATTGTATATTTGGACCTACAAGATTTTGTCAGAATACTGAATTTCCGTTCAGGCCTTTTCATCAATTTTGGGTGTGGAGGTAATAAACCAATCTCTTTGGGAGGTCATGTTTGCTGACACTCCTGAATCCACTATCCAGGCATCATCTTTGAGTGTGCTCAAATTTTTGGAGGTGGACAATTTTGCCATAAAAAGCTGCAGAGGCTCTTCATTTATGGTGTGCAATATTTTTGCAGCCAGCTCCAGTTTATCCTTTTCAATATTTGATTTAGCAGTCCCATCAGCCTTCTTGTTACAACAGTCCTTTTCCAAGTGGCCAATTTCTCCACAGGCAGCATTAAAACCAAGAGTTTGCATACTCTGGCACACAACTCAGACAGGCTAGAGTGAAGTGAGTAAGAGTGGATACCCTTATGATAGGACAGACTTAGTTGTGGATAAACAACAACAGGACTTGCTGAGGAGTCTCCTTAATCTATTGGGGTATTTATATGTGACCAGCTCTACTGTGTGAGAAATTTTGTAACTAAAAATACAGGAAAGCAGTGCAGCGCAAACAAGTGGAATTTGAACAAAATGGAAAGTGCTGCAAGGCACAGTGTGTGAAAACTACAAAGGAAAGTTAAAGTGGAGAATGAAATTTAAAGGTCCAACAATTGTGTATTGTAACAGACAGAGTAAGAGTAATTTTTCTTTTTGTTCTTGTCATTTTTGTCCTTTGGCTTATGTTTCTGCTGATTTGCTACTTTTGCTGTGAGAGCAGTTTGTGAGTTAGCGCTCTTGTGTGACCTTTCTTTGATCAGAACTTAGGACTCCTTTAATGGCTCATCCTTCAAGGTAAGAGTTAACTGGGCCTTTATTTCTTTGTTATGCTGAATCTATTCTGCTTGATCAAGAACAGGATGAAGACAATAATTTTCCTATAAATATTATAAATGATATCCTAGGTGATATGTCTGATGACCATCCTCAGCCTATTCACTCTCATTCAAATACTGAAGAAGACAATGAAGCCCCTCTGGACCAAGATAGCGATCATGGTGGAGCCAACTTTCAGTCTTTGGATAATAACATAGTAAGTGTTCCTTCTCCTTTATTTTAAGGCTTGCCTATACTACATTTTTATAAGGTTGTTTTAAGTTCAACAACAACTACTTCCAGCTCAGGATTAACTTCACATTTGTCATATAGTCCTAGTTCTAGCATTTTACATCAAACCATCAAACCATTGTCCTTCAAGGCTAAACTAAGTTCTATAGCTTGCACCACTTTGAAATATAGTGCTAGTCTTGGTCATCAAGCTATGAGAACATACACTATCACTCAAAAAGGCTTCCAAAACCCTCTCAACCGCCAATTTATCTGCTGGGACTTATTAGTTAAAGCTACCAGTGAAGACAAAGACAAAGCTGCTGCCTCCTTGGCCGATAAAATAAAGGTTTTACAGGATAATCAAGACTTGAAAGCTCAAGTATTGGAATATGTGAGTAAAACTTATTATAGCAAACATATAATAAACATTCAACTGGAACAGGTTTGGAAGGGTTGCATGCCAATTAGAGGATAGCTTGTTTCTAAGGCCAGATTAGGTGTTCCTTTCATGTATCAAATCAAACAGTTTCACAATAGGGACTCATCAGGAAAAATTGGGGTAGTTATATAGAGCTCTATAGCACTATAAGTGCTCATAAACCTGCTATAGAACCTCTGCCATCTAGAGCCTCATATAGCTCTATAAATGCTTTTATAGATGTTGGAAATTATTGCATGGCTGATAAAAAAATTTAAATTATTATTCTTATTTTTATAAATATCAAAGATACAAAGTACTATTTCACTAATACAGACTATATAATTGATTAATGAAGTATAATTTATTAGCCCACTTAAGCAGCTGAGACTATACTATAATTATGACCTTTGCAGCTATAGGGGCTATATAGGAGCTGGGAAATCTCATTCCATAGATGATCAACACTGGTGTGTTGATCAATGCAAGTATAAACTTCAAGGTATATTTTTTGTGCTTGTAAAAATATATACAGCTGGGGTAACTTTGATATATTTGACTTTTTATGAATTTCTATATGCTATAAGCCTGCACATTTTTGCATCCAGTGCAATATAGTGCATTATAGTGCACTATAGCATGGGACTATGTAAGACTTGCACTTACAGATCTGAACTGATCTAAGTGATATTTTTGCTATTATAGCATATTTTTTGCACTTTTTTGCATTTATAGCCACATCATGTTTTCCTAATAAATGGCAATGCATTTATATAATCGAGGGCCTCAAGGCATTTCATCACAATATTTGAAATTTACATAATAACAAGTATATATGAAAATATATGACAGTCTGAAGGAATAGCACATAGAAAGCCAGCCAGTTCTGAGTAAAGATACACTATTGCTTGACAGTCTATTTTAGTGTATATAACAAGCAGAAGAAGAGTATTACTGACAATTTCATTTCACCATTACTTTCAGATAGACTGTCTCCTCCATCTCTTCCTCAGTAGCATATCCAACATCATACTCAAAATCATAGTTGGACATAGCAAAATTAGAACATTCATCTTCTTTATCTTCTTCATCAAAGACACTAGGGTTTATAGTAATAAATCTAAGAGAAACTCAGCCGCTGCCTGAGAGGCTATAGAAACAACTATTATTATTTACCTAAGAGAAACTACAATAAATGTTAATTTAAGGTGATCTCTAATAATGGCTTCTTTAGCAGAGACCAGGTTTATCCGGTTTTGTCATATAGCACCCATTATCCCGTCATCTAAATTATCAACAATAATATTGTTGCTATCTATAAAAATTGACCCTCTCATCTGCAACAAACAACCTCTTTTGGCTCTTCAACAACAAGCCTTTTAGCCTTGTAAGCCTGGAGAATAGACTCTGTATTCATCAGTCCCCTCTATCTGCTACTAGGGATGGAGCATATGTGTCTATTACAGTTGCTTCCTGCATTTTTGTAAATTGTTATGTAGTATTAATCAATACTGGCCCACAAATGTGAGGCAACGATAAACTATAACAAAAACTAAACCTATCTCCTTCTGCACTTGCAGGGAGTAAGGGTTCAATGAGCTTTGAAGTCGACAGACGCTAGTAAATATAGCGAGTAGAGGACCTTTGAGAGGTAAGCTTCAAAGGTTCTTGTTGAGGAGTAAAGCGGGTAAATTCAGTAATAGAAAACTAAGGAGCCATACATGAATAGGTAAGGCTTTATATAGGGAACTGTCCGTTCCTCAGACCGAAAGGAGAATATACGAAAAGTGGTCTGAGGAATTAATCAACCAATAAGAAAAAGGGAGAGTAACTATCGTACGACTTTTGACTTGATTAATCAGCAGGTGAGAGACTTGTACTAATAATAGAGAATTGTCACGCGTGTTCAGGAACCGTATCCTCATGATGAGGTACGATCCTAAATAAGGTGTTTATTAGTATTACCAGGCTTTACTGGGGCTTGGAGCTGGTTGGCGAGATGCCCACTACCAGTCTCTACCCAGTGTGCTGGCTGGCTGGGAGTGATACCCAGTCTCTGATCTGTGATATAAAATGGTAGCGATGGTTAAGAAAGCCTGTGAGGGCTATGAGAAGTAAAACGGCAAAGGATACCTCTAGCCCTAGAGCCAGAGATGTAACGGGAAAAGCGTTCAATAACCAAGACATAGCAAAGATAGGAAAATAATGAAATGGTCCTTACAACAAAGAGGGATCTCAGGTTAGTAGTGACATGTCACCCTGATCAAATGCTCACTACTATCACACACATACAGCTGCTTAAGTTGTGCAAATCTGTACTCTTTCCCAGCCGCTGGAGTCTCATGCAGAGAGACCAAAACATCCTGTATTGTTTACACTGAGAATTTCAAGTTTTTGCGGGTGCTTGAAGATATAAAAATGGCATCATACAGTATTAGAGGAGGTGGATATCCAAATGTTCCTCCTTCAAAGGGGGTACTGACACAAAAACATACCTGGTGAATTGGTTTGAGTGGGGTGTATTTACTGACTAGATCCAATATCCCTTTCATTGACATCAACTCCATTATTGGAAAGGTGATGGATTGTTGCATTGATCTTTCTAGCTCTCAAGAGCCCCCAAATACATACTACTTAAATAACTTCTCAGACAAAGAAACCTACAAAAAATTCATGGCAGAATGTTAGATATTTTAATGTTGTAGCTTTACAATGTTTACAAAAATACTATCATTTGATTGTGCTTGATCTTATCATATGACTGTTGTATTATTAGTAACTATTGTTCTCTTATCATATTTTATGGTTTTTATCCAACTGTCCCAATCCATCTGATAACCTAAACTGAGCATTTTTTCTGAATAGACCAATTGTATTATGTATTGTGAAGAAGTTCTTGATTTCAAATTGCACTGTAGTCTAAGGAACTTTTTGCACTTTGCAGATGAAGTGTTGCACCTCACCTTTTTCTCTTCACTTTTGTTTTCACTTTCTTTTATCATGGGAAAAGGAAGATATATGTAGAAGATATCAGATAGGACTCACAGTAAATTATATTGGCCAGCATACCATTGTATGGACACTGGAAGGATATGAATGCCATAGTAAAATAAGTCCATATCAAACAAGTGTTAAAGTGTTGTACAGTTTCATATGTACTCAAGTACATATTATCAAATTGATATGTCACACTGACTGTATAATCAATTGCTGTTGAGTTTGTTTATACCTACACCAAGTAAAGATGGGTTTAGGTCTTCCCCGGGCAATGGTATTCCACTAGTCTCGAACCCAGGCGTTTTGGGAAGCAGTCAAACTCAGACACATTCCCAAAACGTCTGGTGACTTTCATCTCAGGACGAGTGCATCAACTCACACTGTCACGCTTTTTGCTCTTTTTGGGTTGAAGTTTTAGTAGTATGAGCAACAGAGACAATTTTCAGTGAACAACAAGTCAATGCCAGCCTTGTCATCACTGGAAGCTCATCACTTACTATGAGAGCTGTCCTTTTATAGCGGATCTTGGGGTCCGTGATGCAGTTGTAGTTGCCCCAGCTGAGATAATCTAAGAATAAGGGAAGATTGAGCCCAAGCATGTTCATGTATTCCAGCACCAAGCGAACTTTGGAAGCAGGAGTGCCGGTGAGTTGTGTCTTGAGTTGAGATATGTATTGTAGCTGGACAGGGCGTATATTTAAGTTCTCTGGGTCACTACTGGGCTCTGTATCAGTGGATGATAATGAATTATGTGTATTATTGACCGCTGAGGGGGCAAATGGATTGTTGTTGTCCTCAAAAGCCTCACCGCTATTGCAATTAGACAGGCTCTCACGTTCAGTGGGATCGATCATGGTTCGAAAGATAAGATAAGATTTCAACTTGTAAGCTACTGCTCGGTTCTTGTAACAACATTGCCGAATGCAGCCAACAGGCGTGACTCAATGCACTCGTCACCTATCAAAAGTCACCAGACACTAGGATATTCCCTCCTAGCTCTGGTCACAGGACTAGTATTCCACTTGATTTGCTGAGATCTATTTTACAGAAAAGTTCTATCCTATTGGATTTAGCCATGTGACCTCACATCGCCACCTGACCACAGGGAGGGCATAAAAGCAAAGTGGACCAGCCGGGGATTGAACCCAGGACCTCTACCTATATATGGTGGTGCTCTAACCAACTGAGCTACCAGCCCTTGTACTAATGTCAACTCATGACATGTGTTGTCTAACAAGGCTAACAGGCTTTGACCTTGACTATTCCAACATATCCTCCCATGGAAATTGAGTCAAAACAATTACCTCAGGCAGCACATTGAGGAGGCTTTCAGGGTCTTTCAGATGACCCACCATCCCTCCAGCCTCTGTAGCCCCCAGTAGCAATTGGAATACTATACTTGGCATATAGCCAAAATCACTGCTGAGAGCCTCTTCAGAGGTTTGATCTACATTTAATGCTATAATGTTCGAGAAGAACATCCCAAATATGGATATACTGTAAATTATCCCTTTACAGTAAACTTCTGTGCTATCATAACCTTACTATGAGCCTCCCCATCACTACATCAAAGAAGAGTCTCTCAAATAAGAATATGCACTACCCTTTTATGGTAAGATTCTGTACTACTACCCAAAACATATCTGTTGTTGGATATTCTGATATAACACCTAATCTATTTACTGCCCTACTTGCTATTTCTCAGGCTAATTTGTGTAGAACATGTGGAGCCAACATACTAACTACTATCCTCATTGAATATAGGATCAATTCACATTGGAATAGATTGTATAATCTAATATCATGTTATTGACATATAAACATATGTTTGTTTTCCAATTTTAGTGTATTATAACAATGATCATAGTAATATGGAAACAACAATTTGAGGGAAAAATATATATTAGGATTTTAGGGGGACCCTCTTCAGAGAGGGTGGTGGTCTTTCAGATGGGTTATTGCTAAGATAAAAACCCCATCTGTAAGACCTGAGAACTTCTTGAAAGTGCTGTCAAGGGTGAAAACGGTGCACTCGATTTCACTCGATTTCGGGTTTCCACTGCCCTGGGCTGATTAGCGCTGACTGAGCGATGACTAATCCTTGCGTCACCGAGCCGTGACCGATTGTGGGAACCTGTAAATAGCTTGAATCACGTGGTGCCCGCTCTTTCACAGTGGAAGGGAAGTTTAAAGGAAAGGGAGGTTGTTCTCGACGCCGGTCCACCGTATCTCCTCGCTGTCGCACACGATGGCCACGCATACAGCAGCGTCGGGATCCACACCTAGCTTTTCCAATCTCTCGATATCATCGTACAATGATTCGAATAGCATTGATCTGACCCTCGACGACCACAACGATGTTGAATCTCCCGCGCAATCTCCAGTTCTTTTTCATCCTGCAGCGAGGCAGTCCAAGCGCCCGAGGACAGATTACCATGATGAGACTCAACAGCAAGGCTTTCCTTATAATCCAAACCAATACATGCCTCCATCGCCTGTTCCAATGTCTACTCGCTTGCCCAGAATTCCCCTCCAGAGCCAGCAACAATCAACTTCAGCATCTTTGCCATTTCGTCCACATCTATCACTTTCAAATTATTCATCATCCAGCCATTTGCCAAGCAACTACAGACCAATGTTCGCTGGTATCCCACCCTCGCCCTCCCCTTACAAATCCCCCAACGAGCATTCTTTCGCAAATAATACCTCGCGTTCCTTGTCGGTACCCGTCTCTGGGCGTCCTCATCCCCCCGCGCCACCGTCTCACCAAGTCATAGATCTCACAGGCTCTCCTTCACCGCCCCCACATTCATCTCAGTCACTACTCAGTGATTTACCTCCTAAGACTCCCGTCTGCATCGGCCAGCTTACTGTAACTGCACTAGTCTTATATCCTGTCCCCTACTTGCGGCAACAGGATCCAACCTTGTCTGAACCTGAATGGGCCAGTGTTCGTTTGCAATACGAGCACAACCCAAACAAGCCAGATTCAAACGACACCATCCACATCAAGGCTCCTCATGGCAGGGGGGCTAATGGAGAGTTAATATCCGGGGATGGTTTCGCCGTCGTCGAGCAAAAAGTGGCTACTTCTCTGGGTCCTATGCTAGGCAAGGGTCTCATCCGATTAGACGCGAAAGTGAGAAGAGGAATGCCTAACGTGAGCACAACGATCGATCAACCTTTATCCCCCTAATTTCCGGGTTTTCAGTTACCTATACTACCTTTACAAATGCTCGTCTATACCCCTAAAGGGAACATACCTGTTGTGGGTAAATATCTCCACGAGTGCGGCCTTCTCCTTGACCATCCTTCCCCGCCCTACGATGTCCAGCGCCTTGCAAACTATCATTACTGTAATCCACATAGTCCGCCACTAGGGGGACACCGCTCGCTATTGGGGGTTAATCGGCCTGTTAATTCCGCCCCAGGGGGCAGCCGTTGGAGTACACCGACGGTGGCGGGCAAGACACTAGAAGTTCAAAGGAGCCAGGTAGACGAACTCTTTAAGAGCCTGAAGAGTGGTGATGAGCTTGCCGAGACAGAACCTTGTAAGCCGCTTGTGTTGACTTGTGATGTATGATAGAAACCAATTATCATGCTATAGCCCCCGGAGTTGGTACATCACTTTACCCCCACCAGAAGAAAGCCCTGACATTCCTGCTTGAGCGAGAGAAGGAGAGGATAGGCCCAGACGGTCGATATTCATCTATGTGGCAACCTAGGGCGAACCCACATTCAAGGCAGGTATCCTGGTTTCATCTCGTTACTCAGAAAGAGGTTTTTCAGGAACCGCAAGAGAGTAAAGGCGCTATTCTTGCCGACGATGTATGGTTCACTTGATTTTCTTACAAGTTCTTCTAATGACGATGCCACTTTCAGATGGGCCTTGGGAAGACTATCACGTGTGTTTCCTTAATCGCGGCGACGCTCGAATCTGCACGGGCTTTTGCTTCCCATCCATTGGATCGTCCTCTCATACCTTCGGACCGGGGTGTTTGCAATCATTCGCTCCCAACTTCTCATTTTGCGGGTGCCGTTTGGGGCATGTCAGAAACGTTAGATTTGTCTTCAGGTTCCAAGGGCAACGCGAAGGTAACGAAAGCTCAAGATAAACTGGAGGCAGAATACACCAGAGCATGTCGGATCAAGGTTAAGAGCCGCGCTACACTTATAATTTGCCCTCTCTCCACCGTCTCGAATTGGGAAGATCAGTTCAGAGAACATTGGCGGGGAGATGTCATGGTTGTAGGTGGTGGCGGTGTCAGTTGTCTGTCTGCAACCGCTTGTCAGCCACTCACTTCTCCACCGCCGCCATCTTCTTTTCCCTCATTTACGATTGATACGAAACCGGATATAAAAGCCTCCTCTGGGCGCAAACAAGAAGGTATACCTCTTCGTGTGTACGTTTATCATGGCAATGCTCGTCGGCCTGATCCTAGTTTTCTTGCGGATTTTGATGCTGTCATCACGACTTATGCTACTTTGGCATCTGAATACTCGAAGCAAAGTAAGAGCATAACCAGCGTCGAGGCTGATGATGAGGAAGATGACGGAAGTAGCGACGGTGGCGGCATCGATATTGACGAGCGCGGTAATCAGGTCTTAAGGTTGCCGAAGCCGAAAAGAGCTGGGATGAAGAGAAAGAAATCTGGCGCATCGTTGGGAGGCGCGGGTGAAGCCACGAGTGCTTTACAGACCGTTCATTGGTTTAGAGTTGTGTTGGACGAAGCTCAGTTCGTCCAATTCATTATCTATACCAATACTTTTCTAACTCATGTCATCACAGTTCAATAAAGGAGACGGGTACCGTCGGTAGCCGAGCATCGTGTGACTTAATGGCCGATCGTCGTCTCTGCCTAACTGGTACGCCGGTGCAGAATAAGCTTGACGACGTTTTCGCTCTGATCAAATTTTTGCGGTTGGAGCCATTCGACGATAAAAACACGTGGACGGAATTTATTGGTACCCCAGTCAAATATGGACAACCTTTAGGTGTAGCCCGATTGCAGACAATCATGAAATGCATCACTCTACGTCGGACAAAGGAGACAACAGCTCAGGATGGCAAGCGCATACTTTCCCTTCCTCCGCGTCGGGACGAGCTGCGATATCTCAGGTTTGACGAACAAGAGAAAGAAATATATGACCACTTCTTTTCCGAGTCCAAAGCCGAGTTTAATGAGTTGTCAAACAAGAACGAAGTGATGAAGAACTACGTCGGTATACTGCAGAAGATTTTGCGCCTTCGCCAAATTTGCGATCATTTCGAGCTCGTGCAAGGGAAAGGTTTAGGCGGGTCCCAGCAAGATATAACCAGCTACGATGATATCGTTGCTGCTATCGAAAAGGAGGGGATTGATGTGAGGCGTGCATCGGCAATTTTCGCGCTTCTTCGAGAGGCAGCTACTACACAGTGCGTGGAATGCGGTGCCGAGTTGTGCTCACCACCAGACATTCAACAGATGGATGGTATGGGGGCGATGGATTGCGACGGCCCGTCGGTCCCTAAGAGGGGCAGGAAAGCTAAAAATCAATCTCGCGGACCAACGCGAGCCAACAGCCCTTCTGGACCACAGTTAATTATGACTCGGTGTCAACATCTTTTCTGCCTTTCCTGCTACCGTCAGTGCGTCTGTCCGGGATGGCCGAATGTGTCACAGGACACGCTACGATCATGTTCAGCATGTCAGACGGGCCTACGACCTAGGGATGCGGTGGAGGTTAAACCAGATAGTCCAGGTTTAGATTCTGCGCCTAAGAAGAGAAGTGTGAAGCGAGAGAAGAGAACAAAAGGTGTCAATTTGGAAAACTTCCACCCATCAACCAAAGTCAAATCGCTACTTGGAGACTTGATACAATTTTCCAAGGCAAACCCCTATTCTGCTAATTACGACCCTGCTTCCATCGAAGTGCAAATGGTAGACGATCAAGGCAATCGGCTAGATGATGGCATTGTCAAAACAGTGGTCTTGTGAGTCCTTTGTAGCTAGCGGCTGAGTATATATTATTAATCATAACTACAGCTCGCAATGGACATCAATGTTGGATAAGTAAGTCTGCATAGTATAACCGTCTGCAGCATTCTCAGTTTTATCGTAACAGGGTTGAAGATGCTCTCGAGGTTGCTGGAATACGTTATGACAGATTGGATGGTACCATGAAGCGCGACGAACGTACCCGAGCGATGGAGGCCTTGAAGCATGAGCCTGGTTGCGAAGTCCTCCTTGTTAGTTTAAAGGCTGGTGGAGTGGGTCTCAATCTTACAGCAGCACAGCGGGTATATTTGATGGACCCTTACTGGTGAGCTTTATATCTAGTTGAACTCTATTGTTCACGTTTACTTATTGTGGATTTAGGAATCCTGCAGTGGAGAATCAGGCTGTGGATCGAATTGTGCGTTATCAAACAGACTTGCAGTTTCGTGATTTTAATCGTTTTCTATAGCATCGTCTAGGACAGACAAGACCCGTCACTACAGTCAAGTTGATTATTGAAAATTCAATCGAGGCTCGACTCCTTGAAGTGCAGCGGAAGAAGACTGAGTTAGCGAATATGACTCTTGGCCAGAACTTCAGCAAAGCGGATATGTTGCATCGTAGAATGGAGGAGTTGAACCAATTGTTTGGGACATGACTCTGTAGAATTTCTGTTTTGCGTATTTTTCTTGGGTTTTTGTTTTTGACTCTGTTATCTTTTTACTTAATAATGATATACATGTAAAGCATTAGAATGCAAAATGAGCTGCATTTTTGCGCCTACCCATTGCATAAACTGCGATCTGGCTTACAAATAACCCTACGGTTACACCGATTGCCACTTGTATCATACGGATTGCCAGGGAAAACCCACTAGAGTACGATTGAGAGGAAGTTTCAGTCGCAGTGGTTAGACCGCCACCTTGAGCGATTCCAGACTACGAAGAGTTAGAAATGACGAGATGACGCTTCAGTAGTAGCATATTACCGGAACTAGAAACAGTACTCCTGTGACCATCGAAGTAAATGCGGTTCCGCGAACGATCCTAGAATACATGTTACCAAGTACGCCAATAACCAAGGCACCTGCAGCTGACACAATGTCACCCCGGCCAGGTAAAACAGAGTTTGCAAATTTGTTGGCGACGAAGGCACAACAAGAGAAAACTACCATGACAAATAGTTGTACGCTGCGGTATGACTGAAGGTTGGAGAGTGAAGAGCAGGTGGAGTAGATGGGCACCAGGAAAAATAGTGTCCACCAAGGGAGAGGTTGTCTATACCACGGCCAATCGGGACCTCGGTAACATCCTGAAGTGATGTGAATAAATCACTGATCACTGATTGAGTCGCATTAGATATGACTTTACCTCGGACAACATAACGTGGATCGATAACAGAGGTATTTGCAAAGCCAAACACCACGCTGTTCAGCAACGGAAAGGAACCATTACTGGGTACGAAAGATCCCTTATAGCTTATGTACTTTGGGGTTAAAGCATACTCGAGAGCGCGATGAGCATGTGGATTGACAACGAGATATATATCAGATCCAATTGTTAATCCAAATCCCTACGCTTGAATCAGGCGGTGGATTCAAAAAAAAAATACAGTTCATTTCTCACCAGGAATAGAGTATAGATGATCGCATAGACCATCCTGACAGAGCCACATAAGATGTTCCTCGATGTCAGCTCCAGAGCGCTAATGACTAGTATAAGGTAATGTTATTAGTTTTGATATCACGGTCAGACAACACCCACTGACGTATAGTAAAACCAGGCAGAATCAAAACAACACCAGCAGAAGAAATGGCATCGTAACAAAACAAGTTTCCTGGGATGGTGCTCAGCGCTCTGGCCACAAACGACACAATGATTGAAACAGATATCCTAGGAGTAAAGCATTAATGTTCTACAATGGAGAGATAGAAAAATAATACACACTCGTAAACGTTTGCATACATGGAGCTTTTCGTCGCAGCGTTGAGACCCAGATATTGAAGAACACAAGCACAAAAACCACTGATCCACATGTCGATCATGGAACCGCCGAACGCGAGAACGCAAATAATCGATGCACAGACGAATGCCAAAAGATACCTCAATTTAAGCGAATAAATCGGTGGTGCGCATAGTATCTCCCTTAGAGCCTCCGTACCCGCCTCCACTGACATCTTGTCATGCAGCACTTTTCGATAAATTAGATGAACTTTGTGTAAGGATGTGAGAGCAATGCGGCCGTTGGCTCGGACAAAGTGTGTTTCGACTGTGCCCGTGTCGCCGTCACCAAAAGTTACGATGATAACATTTGGGATGTGTACGAAGTCTGCCATCGCATCTAAAATATCGGAGGCTGCAGTAAGTTGTGATTCGATACGGTGGGAAGGTGCGCCGAAAGCCAGCAATGATTTCGCCAGCTTCAACACAAACTTCCGTCGCTTTGTAAGATCTAGTACAAGTCTGCACAGTAAGTCCTTGATTTACACACTCTTACTGAGATGACTCACCCTGGACATGGCGGGTGATCGATGAAGATCGCCTAGTTTTCTTAAGAACATTAGGACGAAGTTTTCCACCTTGATAGAAATTGGCTGGCGTACTAGCCGCGAAGGATTTTTGTACGCCACGCATATTTTGATCTTCGAGTAGGGCGTTTGAAGATACCCTGCGTTGGTCAGAAAGCAGGCGTTCCATTGGTAATAGCATACCCGGCCTTACTGGGCTTAGCAATTGCGCATGCTTTTCTGCTTTCGTTAAGTTGCCAGGCGGACGACGACCATAATTCATCAAAGAAGATGTGATGCCTAACCGTCTCTTCGGGGTATCCCTCCCCTCTTCCAATCCACTGAAAGTCCGCCCTACAACAGGCATTAAAGTGTTCCTGCGGGAGTGAGAACCAGAAACCCCACCCTGGTCCCTCTCAGTGAGTAGGTTCATCGCATCAACAGAAGTATCCATCTGAGAAGATTGAGCTCGAATCGGAGATGAAGGAAGGGCACCTCGTGCAATAGGACGTGAAGAGCTCAGACTGGCCTTGCGACTGGAGCTGATGTCTTCGTGTGATAGAGGATGAGGGGTGCTTAGTGGAGGAGGTTTCTCAGACATGAAGTGACAGGAAATCATAACCTGGAACGTTAAATCTCGTTCGCACTTGGGTTCGAGTAGTACTGGGCAGCACTGAGGGACACACTGACATTTTATAGGTTGCCATGATGTTCGCAACACAATACAGACTGACAGGAGGTTTCAGAACGCTCAGACTGAAACTGTGTTATACGTCGACGAGAGCCTCATCAGGGAACTACCGATTGTATGACATGTTTGACGCGCCCTACACTATGGACCCGAAAAGAGGTGATAATCACCCGCACAACAGTTGATAACAATCAACCGGAAGTCGGTGGGAATTTGGTGCAGGGTGATTGGAGAGTGATTTAAGAGATATGCACTTGGGCCTCCACAGGCTCAACAATCGCTGTACAGGTAGCTAGAAGATTGTCAGATATAGAATAGAGTATCACATCACAGTGAGGAGCGTTTTGACGTCTTAAAATGTTATCCAAAACTGCAAATAAAATATATAGTTTTACTTCAGACTCCTAAACCATTCTGCTGTGGGTGTTCAAGCTCTCCTAGTGTAGCCACGTTTGTATTATATAATCATATTTTTCCGAATTTGAACCGAACCTTTAACACTTGGTTGAACACCCACCACCGACTGGCGTAATTTACTGTGGCACCGGTTGTGGTCTGTTTGGATCCTTTCGGTGGACCGCAAAAAAATTGGTATACCAGGACAAATATTTGTGGTTAAACATATTAAGCATTATCCTTCTTACTTTCCTTCTTTAGCTGTGTGCGACTTCTCTTCAACGGTTCAACCTATGTCTGGACTGAAGTATGTAGTCCCTACACTGGAGGAAATGTGTCGCACCACCAGAGACATCTTCGGGTATACATCATGTGACTGGCAGCTCCATACGGCTCTTGTGCAACTTCGGAAATGAGATGTTTTCACACTGTCAGCTACCGGATCAGGCAAGACACTGTGTTTTTGGATCCCATTGTTATGATAACACATTTTTGGACCTTTAAATTTCATTCTCCTCTTTAACCTTTTACTGTAGTTTTCACACTCCATGCCATGCGGCACTTTCCCTTTTGTTCAAACTCCACTTTCTTGCTCTGCGCTGCCTTCCTTCTTATTTTAGATACAAACTCTCTCATGCAGTGGAGCTGGTCATATGGGCTAAACCTCATGACATCATCAGCCACTGCCTTTATCAACTGTACAGTACATATGTACAAATAAGCTTGTAGTAGTATAAATACCCCAATAAATCAAGGAGACTCCTCAGCAAGTCCTCCTGTTGTTTACCCACAACTAACTCGGTCCTACCTAAGGGGTAACCACTCCCTCATCACTACCTTTATAGTTTGTTCTAGTTGTGTGCCAGAGTAACTAACTCTTGGTTGTTACACCCATTGTTATTCAATGACAATGGGATGATCATTCCCGTGACACCACTGAGTATCTTGGGAGACAAGAATATAGCAGAATTAAAAGCTATTGGGATAACAGGAGTCAATCTAACAGCTGCTACAGCAATGAACAAAATATTTAAGGTGGTGAGCATCAATCTATTGATCTGTTTGTTACTGATGAAGATTCGAGGGATATTGCTGCACGTAGTTTTTGCGTAGTGATTGTCAGCCCCAAACGAGTACAACATGACACTCGCTTCAGGAAACTTTGGGACAATCCCAAGTTTGTGCAAGGACTGTGTAAAACCCTTATCCCCTATACCAAGTTAACGGAGGGATGAAGATTCAAATCAAACAAGTAGCGTTACAAATAGCGATTGAGAATTAATCAACAACTGAGGAAAGTATGTACATGATGGTCTACTATATATATGTTTCTGAAAGCCAGCCATGAGGCGCTGACTGATGTTCTTTGTAATGGCTCTAGACTTGTGTCACGTGATGGTCACGTGATCTGATATAACTATGTATTATGTTATCCGCGCTAAAGCAGCAGCTTAACATATCTTATCTGTCATGTGATCAGATATCAAAGAAAAATGAAAAAGGAAACTAGCGCTCAGACTAGCGCTTCTGGTTCAAGTCGTGACAGACTGTTTAATGTGACGCTAGATGAAGCTCATTGTATCAGTGAATGGGACTCTTTTCAACCCAAGTATAGTGAGATTGGACACTTACACTGGATACTACCATTGCATGTGCCATTTCATTGTGCTTCGGCAACAATGCCCCCTCACATCCTTCAAGACGTGAAGCATAAACTACGAATTGAATTTAATGCGGTGCTGATTCATCGCACAATCAACCGGCCAAATATTTTCTATCAAGTGAATGAGATGATATATCCTGTCAGTACAAGATGGGACTTACTTCAAGCTGTAAAGTTAGACGGATCCCAGAGTTTTATGATATTTGCAAATACGCGAAGGGAAACAGAAGCGGTGGGTGAATTCCTGTGATCACAAGTCTTTAGCAAGCACAGAGAAAAGATTGTGTGGTTTTATTCGGGCATGAGCATGCATTTTGTCAGGAAATGATCAAAAAGCTTAAAAAGGGGGAACTATGGGGAATATGCTGCACAGATGCAGCAGGTATAGTAAGTTGAATTGATTTTACATGCCAAACAACAACTTATCTCTGTTGAAACAAGGGACTTGATTTGCGTAGTATCATTTTGGTGATACAGTGGTGCTACACTGCATCGCTCTGTGTGCTTGTGCAACATATGGGACGAGCTGTTTGAAATCCACTTCTAGACGGATTTGCTGTCTATTTTGTAGAGCCAAAGTACCTAGACAAAAACCAGCTGAAGAGAAAATGTGGAGAGAACGACACAGGAAGAAAACATACTGTTAAAAGGGCACAGGCAAGTAATAGGGTAGGAACAAGCCTGGATGTAGAAGAAGGTAGTGAGGATGGTGATAGTGAGGGAGAAAAGGAAGAGGGAGAGAATGATGAGCGTGGAAGACAAGAAATGGAACCGGACACACCATTAGCTCAACCGTTGGTTGCTGATTGTACACAACAAACAGCTGCATCACTGCGCTATATCCCCCCAAGTCCACTCAGCGCCGAGTTTGAGGTTAACGCAATGGACACATATATCAATGCGGGCCTGCAAGGGATTTGCCGAAGAGCTATTATTGATAAATATTTTGATAATCCTAAATGTGAGACTCAGAGTTTGATGAGTGGTACTGGGCCTTGCACTTACAACTGAACAGCCAGCAGCAAACACGATCAGTGTTGCGATTATTGCAAGCCCAAAAAGTCACACCGGTGTTGTGACACTTGTTGCTTACTTCCTCTTCTGTCCATACCATCAGTACTACTTCCAAAACAAACACGCGCCAAACATAAATTCAAATTCAATGAACCCACAATGACCCCCAAGGATCTGGCTTTTTGTCAAGCTCTTGAAGAGTGGAGGGAGAGAGAAATGGTAGAGAGTGGATTAGGAGAGGATGATTTTTTTGGGCCACAGCTAATTCTTGCTGACGGTATTCTCAACCGTATAATTGCTGTGGCTCATCACTTGAAACTAACAGACATTGCTTCGTTGAAAGACCAAACAGGCTGGAGAAATAGCAAAAAATACGGGGCAAGTATTATTTCTCTATTTCTTACACATTATCTGCCGCCACCACCGCCACCACTTTTCACCACTGGTCCTCTCCCAATTTGCACAACTATTCAACAACCATTGAACTCCACTCCAAGCCTCCAAGCTTGCCAACAAATACTTCAGCTGTTGGAGAACCAGTAAATTCCCCTGCTCACAAACCACGTACATGTGGTGCATGCGGCACTGTTGGCCACATTGCCTCCAACCGCACTTGCCCAAACTATACCCCAAAGCCTTCTTGCATTAAAGGAAACACAGAAAATGTACCACCACCAGCAGCATAATAAAATCAAGGTAAGTATATTTCTATACACCCATCAAATCATCCATGTTAATCTCATCTCTTTGCTCTGTCTGCTCAGTCTCATCAGCTGCAAGACTGTGCCCTTTCTCTGCAAGCTCAACTCCATGCACTATCTGATCTCTGATGCAGAACTTGGACCTTCAGTTTGGTGTGAAGACGTGCGGGGAGGTACTAGCTATTTTTGTCATAAGTTTTTTTATAGATCTTGTCATGTCTGGGGATGTATGCCGAGTTGAGTGTGTCTTGACGAGGAAGGCATTTTAAACTGTTACATGACAGCTATGGTAGACCTCAATTAAAGATGATTCTTTAATAATGTGATCAATCGTGTGGTTTGGCCCTGTCCCTGCAAAGATAACCTGACATCATCAGGTTTGCTGTTTCTGTTTTGTCCATGTATTGACTCACCTTTGTGCACAGATTATTCAGTTCTACTAGCCAGTCAATAGCTTTGAATGCATGTGGCTTTTCTGTTGGGTTGCAAAGTAAGTTTTGTCTAATGATTTGACTGTATACACATTAACGTCTTTTTCAGCAACATATTTCACATGCGTACCTCAAGTGGTCAGGGTAGATATACTTCAGGTGAGCATAGAAGCGGCTGATTTGACTTGTATACTTATGTTTATTAAGAACAAAGCTTGAAGGAAGTGTCTAGCCACTTGCTGAGAGCAATCAGGGACTGGAAGTAGAGTCCATTGTGAGTAACTAGATTATTAGAGAGTATGACAGGTATACAGTACCTAGAGTCCAATGTGAGTAACTAGAGAATAGGAAGCATTGGACTCTGCAGTACTGTCCGAAGTTTTGTAAACAAAGGTAAACAAAGCAGCCACAAAGGCGAAATAATAGAGAACACAATCAATAGTGAATGATAGAAGAATAGATAGAGAAAGGAATGAAAATATATAGGTAGCACAAAGGTGCAGAATCACCAAAACTAACATGTTTTCCTACAGCCTTGAAGATGTACATCCAAGGAAGGAGTGAGGCCTCAACTGGCATGTAACAGGTCAACATATAATAGCTCATCACAAGTCTGTAAGAGCTGGTTTTCATGGTATTGATCCCACTCACTCAATGATTTATTCCGAGCTTTGTAGAGTGTCACTCCAGTAGCAACATAGTTCTGGATAATGGACTTCAAGGTGTGAACAATCAGGTCCCACGATGGATTGGACTTGGCAAAGTCCTCAAGTGATTTCCACTGTGAGTTTTGTTTTTGGACTTCAATACTCCAGCAATTGAGTATAGATGCCCATAGGTCGTGGTGGATAATATCATGAACATGTCGAAAGCCAGGTTTACTTGCAAATGTACCGGTTTCATTTGGCCACAGCACCCTAATGTTCTGAAAAAGGCTATTGTGGTCATCTCTCCCATCTTTTGGTTGGATTTATATCCTCCAAAGTGCGTCTGCTGCAGCTATCTTGTAATGAAATAATCTGGGCAGGAAAACAACATACTGAAGTTGATTTTTTGGTGTAGCTTCAATACAACGTGAATCCCAGATGACATCAAGGCACTCCTTGGTGAGAAGGTCACCATGGACAAGTAGGACATGCTTGGACATATCAATGTCACCCTCCTCAAAATTCTCGTCGCTCAGATCTCCAATGCCCCCTTGATGCAGTAAGTTCTCCATTACTTCAATGTTCCCATTTGTGGTTGATTGTTTAATATTCATAGAGCGGCAAGGTACCTGGTCAGTCTTGTGAACAGGTATCTGATGTACTGATTCAGGCTCGGCAAGGTCTTTTTGAAAGTGAGAGAAGAGTGCGTGTCGGTGCACAAGGATATGTTGTATATGCCATGAACCTCAGGAGTGTTAGGTTTCTCCATGGAGTTGTCATGCTGCTCTTTTCGAGACTGTTCCTCATCTAGAGTCCTTTGATAATCTCGGTTTTTGTCTGCAGGACGGGTCTGGCGACTGCTTCTGTGTACTCCTAGGACTTCAGCAGGCATGACTGCTCTTTTAGGAACTTGTGCAGGTACTCCAGGGAGTAGACACATTTGTGTGTGTGTTGCCCCACTCACTCCTGAAGGTGTTGAATCACTCCTCGGAGGTGTTGGATGCCTTCCAGAAGCTGATCCAATGGACAGGCTGTTTAGCTGTATCCGGACTTTTTCCACATCAGCTGGCTGTATGTTGAGGGGCTGTCCTCCCACTGACTGTAACTCTACTTTGGCTTTCCATTCTGAAGATGGCCAGTGTTCAGGTCTTGGTTGTAGAGACTGTTGTGGAGGGTGTCTTAGCTGATCAGGTGCTCCCACTGCTCTCGGAATGTCTCCACGGAGGTATTGCCCCACTGCTCTCGGAACATCTTCATGCTGATATGGTTTCATTGCTTGTGGAACATCTCCTTGGAGATGTGGTTCCATTTGCAATTCATTTGGATCTCGGATCCAAGGGTCAGGATCATCCTCCTCCAATGTTTTTTGGTCTGGATAGTGAGCATTCTCTGGAATGAGTCCCTCCCACTGATTTGTGCTAGTGTCTGTGTTCCAGGGAGCAGTGTCATCCTTTTTTACCTTTCCAGATTCATTGAATATGACATGCCAACTGGAAAACACAGTCCGTTTTTCAGTGTCTAGGACTTTGTAGGCTTGCTTTCCATGTGTGTAGCCAATCATTATGGCTTTGCGCCCCTTGGAGTAAAACTTTCCTTGCCTTTTGTCTTTTGGAATCAAGGCATATGCTTGGCATCCAAAAGGGCGAAACAAAGTTGGATCAACTCTCCTTTTAAACAGTATTTCATATGGGGTCTTTCCATGGAGTCCTGATGCTGGGCTGCGTGCTGTGATATATGCAGCTGTTTGCATGGCATCTACCCAAAATGACTTTGGGAGCTTGGAATCATGGAGCATAGTGGTTGCTAATGTAGCCAATGTCTGATTCATGTGTTCTGCAATGCCATTTTGTTCCGGAGTATCTGCAGCTGTAGTTTCTTGGATGACACCATCTTCTTGGAGTTGATTTTTGAATGCATTGCCAGTATATTCTCCTCCCCCATTGCTCCGGAGGAATTCTGTGTATAGTGGAGTGAAGTTTTCTTCTCCCAAATGAGTCCGGAAGAATGTTCGGACATCTTCTTTCCATTGCTTGTATCATTCCAGTGCTTCACTTTTATGTTTTAGGAAATATATCCATGGAAATTTGGAGAAATCATCTACAATAATAATCCAGTACCAAAAACCCTCCCTGGAAGTTGGTTTGATTGGTCCTCCAACATCTGTGTGCACAATTTGTATGGGGCGCTTGGCTCGGTTTCCTCCAGTGGACTTGAAAGGTAATTTCTTCATCTTTCCTAAAGCACAAGGTTCACAAAACTCCGGGGTTCCGGTAAGGGTGTCTATGTCCTGGAGCTGTCCTTTTGTAACCATTCGTTGCAAGCAGTCCATTCCAATGTGTCCCATTCTCCTGTGCAATAAATTTACATCTACTGCTGCAAAAGCTGACTCCGGGTTGATTTTGGGTTTTGCTTGGATGTGATAAAGTCCTCGCTTGTGTAACGCAGTGAGGATAAGTTCCTCCTTTTTCCGAACTTCACAAGTGTTTGACCCTGCTGGAAAAAGTGTTGATAACCCCGTTTTGGACAATTTGTGGACAGAGACGAGTGCTAAAGTGAAGTTTGGCACAAGTCAGACATTTGACAGTGCAATATTGTAGTCCTTATTGCCAACAGTTGCTTGTAGGATTACTGTTCCAATGCCAATGGCATTTACAGAGGATTCATCCACAAAACTGATTGTCCTTGGAGGATGCAGAACATGGTATGTTCCTGGCTCAAACCAGGAGCGGTGAGGGACCATGTGGGATGTTGCTCCGGAGTCAATAATAATTGTTGTTTTGGTCTTATCGGGTTCCAACACAAGGTAAGCTTGAATGCATTTAGCAAGGGGCTTGGAAATATGTACATGATCCAATGCAATATGACTTTGTTCCTCCTCGGAGTCAGATCCGGATGATTGCTCCGCTGTATTTGCCTTTTCCTTCTCTTTTCCTTTATCCTTGTGTCTTTCCTTTTCCTTCTTCCTTTGACCTTTTTCAGCTGACTGAAGTGTTCGACACTCCGAGGTGTTGTGTGATTTGGCTTTGTGGAAGTTACACCATTTCTCCTCGGATTTGAGTGCTGATTCGGAACCTCCAGGGGCCTTCCCTGACTGTCGTGCAACTTCTGCAGTGATCCGGATCTCAACTGCATCAAAGGTAAGTTTATTTTCTTCAATCGTGTTGATTACTGATGACTGAAATATTTGCCATTCAGGAGTGCATGGGAGAGATTGGAGAAGAGCAAAAGCCATGAGTTTGGTATCAACTCTTAGTTTCATTCCGGAGAGGTGTGAACCAATTGTCCGGATTTTCGCAATGTGGTCCTGGATAGGTGATGTCCCATCCCAGGACAATTTGGTGAGTTGCTGGAATGAATAGAAGGCCGAGGCAATGTTGGATGTTTGATGGAGTGAGACAAGTTTATCAAATAACTCCTGGAATGAATAGAAGGCCGAGGCAATGTTGGATGTTTGATGGAGTGAGACAAGTTTATCAAATAACTCCTTGGAGCTGGTAAGGTTTCCAGTCCTCATTAGGAGGACATCAGAGATGTGGTCCTGGATGATTCCGTGTGCCTTCTCATCCTTAAGTATCCAGGTGATCTCAGGATCCTCCAAGGAGGTAGGTTTTCCTGGTGAGGGCTTAAGCTCCTCTCCAGTAACAACCCGGAGAACTTTTTCCTGACGTAGCTTTGAGATGATCCGGAGTTTCCATATCTGAAAATTGTTGGGTCCAGTGAGAACTGGACATGCAAATGTATCATGTGCTGTGGTCATGGTTCCAAGGTTGCCGTTTCAAATAAGAATTATTTCCTGCGTAGCTTTTGCGCGCCAGGGCTCATAACCTAATAAAACTAAGTGAAACTCAGCCACTGCCCGAGAGGCTATAGAAATGACTGAGGTATTCCTATACTAAACCCTCTACTACTTATAATTGGAGGTGCTACTCGCTACAGTATAATGACTCCTAGGAGTACAATTGTGCTCCTAGGAGAACAATGGTGACTCCATGGAGTGGTGGCTATGCTCCATGGAGAACAATGGCTGCTTCGGCAGAGACCGGGTTTATCCGGTTTTGTCAGACAGGGCTATTAATGAAAAAGAAAATAAGGGTAAATATAATGAGGTTTATCTAAGTGGTGAAAAAGAATTTAAACCCAAATGAGGGGAACCAAAGTGCACTGCAAATAAGCAGTGTGAATAGTATAAAGAGCACTAGGGCTTCATTACTATCAACTCAGGTTACACAACCCCTTCCTACCCTATTCATCTTATCACATTTTGATGTTTATTACTAACAAGTCATTGTGACTGTTACTCAGATTAGGTTTAGTTTGCTGGTGTTGTGACTGTGTGATAAAACTATGGTTAAAATATGACAGTATATGACATATAAACAGTGTTTGGACCAGCTGTGTATAACTGCATGATATTTTTGAGGCTTGTATATGTCTGAATAGGAATGAGCATAAATAAACAAGTATCATCATATGATATGTTCACATTGTGGATTAGGTGGCTGTGTATCGTACATATTATTGAGAGTTAGTATTATTATTACAAGGGATGTTGGAGGAGGCTGGAGTAGAATCAAGGGCACAAGTACATTAGGTCAGCATGTATATAGTTAGAACTTCAAGATTGGAGTGGAATATTATACTCTCTGCTTTACTATAAAGTGAAACACTCAGAACATCCTATTACTAGAATGTGGGACATTCCAAGTGGTGTATGGGGTGTCTAGGTATTATTTTACTTATTTTCCCTGTCTGATATCAACCTCATCATCAAATTACTTTAGCACATATTTTCTGTTGCAAGCCTCTCTACCAAATACTGAAAAGATACAAGTAGCTGTGGGGGAAGATACAGACTAAGAAATTTAAGCATTATTTCAGCCAGATGTCAGCTCAGGTTGAGGCTCTGTATAATCCAAGCACAGGCTATACAAGCTGGCTGAAACATTTAGGATTAAAATCAGATACTATGCCATGAGCTAATTTCATCCATATAAACATATCTGTATGGGGATATGATATTACCACAACTGCAATGGGTACTGTTACTTTTTCTGGGTCTGAAGGTAAACAACGCTTGGGATGTCCTGTGTAGTGGTGTTGGGATATCCTGTAGAGCAACTAGTATATCCCAGGTAATTATTGTCTCATACAACGCTTGGGACATCCCACATACATCTGAGATGTCCTAGTTGTTGTGCAGGATATCACACATTTTGTACACTATGCTTCAAATGTTGCATTAGACATCCCCAGGTGTTTGCAAGAGGAATAATACCAATGAGGTTTAATGATGCCAATGCTACCCTTGGCATTACCTTTTCTCTTGCCACTCTTGTTTTTCATTCTTTCTAATAAGGCTGCTGGCTATTTGATCTAACAACTCTTTTACACAGGTGATTGTTTCAAATTGCAGTGTTTCTACACTGTGAAGTTATTGATCCATCACAACTGTTGTTTGTGTTTCAAAATCCAGGTTGCAGGCTTGTGTTTGTTGACTTGAATAATTTTCCAGAGTGTACTGATGTTGGGAGAGGGAGATGGTGCGATTACTTAGGTCTCTAGTGATGGAAATGCCAAGTAGGTAAGAAGTAGGGCCAAGATCACGAAGCTTAAAGTGCAGGGAGAGGTCCTTGACAGCTTGGTCAAGTGCAGAAGTAGAAGTGGATGCCAGTGTCATGTCATCAACAAAGACAGGCAGGATAATGCGCACATCAGCTCTGTTAAAGACATAGATGGCAGAGTCTGAATAAGTACGCTTGAATCCGAGTTTTTCAAGCACAGTGTGCATCTTCTGGTTTCACATTCTGCCTCCCTGCTTTGTCCCATAGATGGCCTTGTCCAACTGGCAAACAAGATTGCGAGGACCCTGATAGAATCCCTCTGGCTGATGCATGTAGACCTTGACATCCATGACTCCATTCAGGAATGCATGGGAAATGTCAATGGAGCACAAATGGAGGTTGTGGATGGCTGCAATGGCAAGGACAACTCTGATGGATGATATGCGGACAGTAGGTGCAAATATTTCGAGGAAATCAAAGCCAGGGCGCTGGTTATAACCTTTGGCCACATATCTGGCCTTGTAGCGCTCAACGGTGCCATCTGAGTTGCGCTTGATCTTGAAGACCCACTTGCCACCAATAGCCTTGACTCCAGGAGGTAGTTCCACTAGTGACCAAGTACCATTACGCTCATGAGCTTGAAGCTCTTCCATGGCTGCCTCTCTCCATTTATCTGCATCAGGACGCTTCATTGCATCTGCAAACGACCTAGGCTCAGCAGAGTCTCCAAAGTGTGCTACTTCATCATCAACTGCCTCAGAATCACTGTCATCACTCTCAATGGCAGGAGTAGGTTGTCTGTGTTGAAGCCACCATGGTCTAGGTGGTCTCCTAGCCCTTACAGGGCGTCTCAGTGCAATAGGCAAGTCAGGAGAAGGTGAGCGATGAGGAGGGTGATTTGGAAGCTCAGGAGGTTGATTCACAGGTGGTTTTGCATCAAGGTCCAAATGAGGCCCATTGTCAGGCAATGGCTGAGGCTGCTGAAGTGCAGCTGGTGGGCCCATATCTCCCCCTGGACCTGGTGCAGGGACATCCTCAATCAGGCCCAATGGCATGGATAGCGAAGGTGGAGTGGGAGGTGGAGGTGGGACATTGTCAGAAGACCTCTTCAAGCCAGGGAAGTAGCGCTCATCAAAATCAGCTCTCTCAGAGATAACAGTGCGCTTGGTGGTAGGATTGTAGAATTTCCATCCCTTGTACCCCTCAGGGTAACCAATAAACACACATTTCCATTTCTCCATATGAGAGCCAAAGACGCCTCTTTTGTCCTTTTGCACATGCACATAGGCAGTGCAGCCCCAAACGCGAAGGTGAGACATGTCAGGCTTGTGTCCATACCACAACTCAAATGGAGTGGCATGGGCCACTGCATCAGTGGGACATCTGTTCCAGACATGCACCAAAGTGGACAGACATTCACCCCAGAAGTTGTTAGGCAATGCAGACTCTGATAACATGGCAGTAATACGCTCAGTCAGAAGTCTGTTTGCTCGCTCTGCCACACCATTCTGCTGAGGACGATTCCTGGTGGTATGCTGTCTGACAATCCCATGGTCATCTGTGAATTGCTCAAATTCCTTGGACATGTACTCTCCCCCTTTGTCATCGCGCAGAGCCTTGATTTTACGCTCCAATTGAGTCTCAGCATAAGCCTTGAATCTCTTAAAAGCATCAAAGACATCTGACTTGGCCTTGAGAGGCACAACAACACGGAATCGACTGTGATTGTCAATGAAGGTGACCCAGTAGTGATAACCAGAGAATGTGGGGGAAGAGACTTGGTGTACATCAGAATGGATGAGGTCCAAAGGATGAGCAGAGCGAGTATCAGATGAGGGGAATGGATTGGCATGCATCTTGCCAGACAAGCACAGTTCACAGACAGGATCAGGAGCAGCCTTGGATTCCAGTGTAAGCCCAGTGACCAGATCTCTCTGTATCAGTCTCTTGACATCAGCATGATGGTGGTGGAGCCAATCTGCGATGCCAGAGCATCAAATCAAGTGGTATAGTCGCAGTAAAATGTCCCAATTCAACACAAGCAGCAGTAGATCCATCAAGGATGCTGCATTGTTGTCATTGATAGTTGCAGTGAACAAGAGAGTGTTGTCACGCATAAAGGACATGGAATGAGACGAAATAGTGACATTGAAACCACTTTGACGAGTTAAATACAAGACTGAGAGGAGATTATTTCGAAGATCTGGTACATGGAGCACTCTAGAGAATTCCACAGCCCTAGCCACTTTGCCATTCATCACAGGATTAAACACCACAGTACCAACACCAGCTGAATAGACAACAGTGTGATCAGCCAGCTTGATTGGTACACGATATGGGGTATAGTGGTGCACCCAATGACGATGAGGTGTCATATGAGAAGTGGCGCCTGTGTCTGCATTCCAATCAATGTCAGCATCAAGTTGGAGAGGGCAATGAGGATCAGAGGGATGAATGGAACGAAGACTTGCATTTCCAGCTGATTCAGTGACCACAGTAGATGAATTGGTATTGTTGGCTGAAGATTTGGGCTGCTGAGAGGTATTCTGAGAGTTGCTGGAGCCTGCCTGAGCCTTATTGCCATGCTTGTAGCGATTCTTAGCACCCTCCACTGCCTGTTGGCGACTAGCAATGTATCTGTGGCATTTGTCTTGGGTATGACCAAGTAAACCACAGAAATCACACTGAACGCAAGTAGAGGTGGTGGATTGGTTGCAATGATGGCAGTTAGGATGGGTGCAGGTGCTATTGGCAGTGGTAGATGAAGAATGCAAGGCAGAATTGACTTCAGCACGACGACGGCGATTGACCTCTTCAGCAAGAAAAGCATCCCTGAGCTGGGTCTTGTCCAAGGTGCCCAGAAGTAGTAGAGATGAAGTGAAGTGGGCATATTGATCAGGAAGCGCCCTAATCATGGCCATGCATGTCAATTCATCGTCCAATTCAGACAATGAGAAGCCAGTAGGACGAAGATTTTGAATCTGATGCATGCCTTCGTCAATTCTGGTCATGAGAGACTGCAGGGACTCGTCCTCCTTCTTTCTGATAGAGAAGAAGTCGTCATAGGCATTAAATCTCGTCCCAGGCTTCTTAGTGACGTGCACAATTGCCAGTTTCTCCCAGATCTTGACTGGATCATCAATGATGCCATCAAGATGGATGCACTGCTCTTTGGTGACATTGAGGTATAATGCACCAGCAGCCTTTTCAGCTCTCAACTCCCATTTCTCTATTGCTTCAGCGTCAGTCCCAGGACACTTTTCAGCGCCAGAGACGAGCCTCCACAGTCCCGTGGTCATCAACCAAGCTTGCATTTCACCACTCCACTGGGGGTAGTTAGTGCCAGACAAGATGGAACTTGGGATCAGAGTCAGACATGATGGGTGTTGTATAAGACAATAGAGCAATGATAAATGATGTAGGAGACGGCTATAGGCGATGGAATAGTGGCAAAGACAATGGGCAATAGTAGGAGGCGAGCAGATAAGATGGTGAGGCGGTAGAGAGAGTATATGGAGAGGGTCAGAAAGCGCAAGGATAGGTCCAAATAGGGTCCAAAAAGCGTCCAAAAGCGATCCAGGAGGGTGCTAAGGCTTCCTAGTGCTGCTACAGGGTTACGCCTGTGTTCCCCTTTCAATTCCACACTGATATTAACAGAGAAATCGCCTCAAGACAGTGTTGGTTAATAGGGCTTGTATATGAGTCAACAAAGTGCCTTAAGCTCCCCAAACACCGCAGACTGAGAGAGGCTCTAGGCAACAACAAACTGAGGCAATGCAGGCAAGCTTCACAGTCTATAGGCTTGTTCTATCTGATAATGGACAGAGTAGAGAAGATTGGAGCTTTATGCACACACCAGATATGCCAAAAAGCAAAAAATAGGGCAAAAAGTCGAAATTGATGCAGAGACAGATAAGATGGATGGATTGCCACCAAATCAGAGGTATAGGGAACGTTTTTATAGAGTAATAGATGGCCCAAATATCGCAAGAAGTGAAGCACAGGATGTGGAGATATGCAATAGGGGTCCAATAGGGGTGAAAGTGCCAAAAATGCGAACTTCACAGAGGATGATGGAGTGGATGGATTGCCCCCAAATTGATGGTGTAAAGTGCAATAGTATAGGGTAGTAGATGGCTCAAATAGGGCCAAGATCCGAGCACAGGATGTGGAGATATGGAATAGGGGGCCAAAAGGTGGTCAAACGATGATGAAGGCTCACAGAAAGATCCAGCTCAAATCCAACCACTCTGACAGGTCTCCTAGGGTTATTTAGGCCGTAGAAGACGATGGTAGAAGTTACAGGACGATCAGATAAGGATTGGGCAAGATATGGTGCAGATAAGGCCAAAAAAGCGTCCGAAATGGGGGTAACTTGCAACAAGGAGTTGTTGTTGGAGATCAAGATGAGATCAGAGTAATCTGAGGTGATGGATGAGATAATAAGAGTCCCAGAAGACGATGGTTACGATGGATAAGCAGTAGGACGCTTGGATGGTGAGATATGAGGTCAGGAAGATGGCTAGAGCACAGGGCTCATAACCTATTAAGAACAAAGCTTGAAGGAAGTGTCTAGCCACTTGCTGAGAGCAATCAGGGACTGGAACTAGAGTCCAATGTGAGTAACTGTATTATTAGAGAGTATGACAGGTATACAGTACCTAGAGTCCAATGTGAGTAACTAGAGAATAGGAAGCATTGGACTCTGCAGTACTGTCCGAAGTTTTGTAAACAAAGGTAAACAAAGCAGCCATAAAGGCGAAATAATAGAGAACACAATCAATAGTGAATGATAGAAGAACAGATAGAGAAAGGAATGAAAATATATAGGTAGCACAAAGGTGCAGAATCACCAAAACTAACACACTTCCCATTCCCACCATTGAGTTGTAGTTTGTGTCATGCTCTAGTGCCCCAAGATAGTATCTTGTTGGTGTTGTCACATCATATATGAGATTTAATAAACCTTCTTGATAGCATCAGAGACAGAAGAGAATGGGATTTACACTGAAGCTTCAGGTACAATGTTTTCTCCTTGGCAAGGTTATAAACAAGCCTGCAATCTTACCCCAAATGTCATAACTCAGCAATTGACCCACAGTACCTTCAAACAACAACAGAACTTGAACATGGCTCAGGATACATGATGGAAAAATATGGAGATAAATTGTTCAAGGTTTAATGACAAGAAAGTGTTAGCAGAAGCAGAAGTGGAAGCACTTATGACCATGCAACAGGTGCAGAGGAAATCAGCTGCTCATTTGTTGCAAGAGGAGCTACAGAGGAATAATAGGGAACAGCAGAGGCTGAGGAGGGAAAAGCAGCAGCATAACTCAAAGAAGAGGCAAGTCCTAGCAGATGGTCTGGATGGCCAGTGGACTGATTTGTGCGCTATCCTCCTGTTCATCAAAGTTTGGGAGTTCTTCAATACATTCAATATCTCGGCCTATTCTTGCGCACCCTACCATGTGACACTGCACGATATCCGCTGGGACAGCGTAGATGTTTTCTGGACTATTTTCAGTCAAATGTAGTAAGGCATGTTACAATTTTTGTAGTGTGTATATAGCGAATATCACCTAGTACCCTACGGTGAACATGGGTCTATTGTTCCGTCATTCAAATCTTTTCCATGCATGCCTTTGGTACTCCTTAAGCTTGTACTTTCGCCTTGCAGGTCTGATAGGAGAGATAAATACTAGTAGAGAAACCGAATGAAAACATGCTCACATGACAGGAACACGAGGCTCAACAAGAGCTCTCTGTTGCAGGCTGCGCAACCGGTCTCGGAACAAATTTCCCTCGGGCTACAAGTCGCCTTCTCGATGGATATTCCATGTCAGAGGCAGTTCTAAAAACGCACCTTCAACGTTCTGAGAGTTTCACTCAGATCCTCGCTCACTTGAACATCCACATTATCCTCTGCCACTTTGTGTTTTCCTAGCTTGCGCCCACTCAGACCTTGCCTGAGCTTTGACCTATAAGAAAGGTCACGAGCCGACTGAGCCTGCTCACGAGCTTTCATCGTTCTGTCTACTTCAGAACGTAAGGATTTCACTCTGCCGACCGTGTCATTCATGCGCTTTCTCGCGGCTATTTCTGCCAGTGCACGACGCTACATGTAAGGCAAGGGGTGATAAGCAACTATTGTTGATGGAAAAGAGCTGGCAGAAAAAGTACCTCAGCTTGTAATTTTACCCTTTTAAGATGTTGCTGTCTTGTTTTTCTAGCTGGCATTTTCTTCATTATTACTATGTCTCCTAAGATCTCGGCTTCATCGTCACCGGCCGCAGGAGATATGTCATCTAATTTCATGCCTGGTGGTACCCCTTCTTGCGCCTCGCTGGGGTCATCCCTTGCGTTCTGAATTTTACGTTTCGTCTGCAGATATTTTTCTGAGTCTCTAACACGACGGTGTTCGGCCTCGTAGGCTTGATGAACCAGTTCTTCGTGATCAGCAAGCGGAGGATTATATGAGGTTCCCTGGTGGGGAACTACAACGGGTGGGAGTTCAATCATATCACGAGGATGAGCAAGTTCAGGGCACTGAAAATAATAATGAAATGATCCGTGAAAAGACACGTTGAGCTGAGACATCCTACGATGAGCAGAGATATTTACCTTAATTCCTGCCTTTCGCGGGATTTCAAGCTCTGATTTGAAACCTTGTTCCTTTGCGTCCACCCAAAGATCATATTCGCCGCTACTCTTCTTAGCTTGGCTTAAACCTGACATAGCACTGCCATCTACAAACCCTATCGGATCCATGACAGCGGTAAAGGCGCCTTTTCGCGGACGCTTAGCCACCCGAAGTAACTGCGATATATCTTCTGGGGTCAAAGCAAAACCAGATTTACTTCTTTTTGCACTAGATGAGTGGGCAAATACGGCGGGAACAGCAGAGCGTTGTGATAGTATTTTAGTAGACGTGAGCTGAGATTTGGAATACAGAAGTGATTTATGCACTGTAGCAGTATCGGGAGAGTGAGATCGAGACTGGACTGGTCTGACGATGTACACAAATGATACTTACCTCGCTCCTCACCCTTCACATCGACCTGAAAAAGCTCGTCGTCGTTCTTTGTCGATACAGTCGAGCTGAAGGCGTCCTCGATATCAAAGAATAGAGGTATTAGAGCCAAGAATGCCTTACCCAGTAATCCTTTCTTCTGCTCTGACGCTCTCGAGCCCTTCCTCTACAACTCGCAAGTTGATATTCTTTCGCCAAGACCGTTTTCCTCTGCGACTGGACTGAGCACCAACCTTGGATGGGGCTACTGTCTTTGGAGGTGCCATCTTTTTAGTCAGGTGGAACAAACAAAAAGTCCTTGGAACGATAGAAGAAGTCGAACGAGTTCCAGCCCATCAACATAGTTGATCTTTGGTGGCAATGCGCAAACACCGCCATACAGATAGGTATCAGCTTGCTGTTAGGCTCGTACCCAGCCAGATCACTAGGTTTACTGTCGGTTACTAGCCGAAATTGTCTTTGAGCAGAACTATAGTGGATTAGTCTCCAGTTGCTGGCCTAATTCAAGACATGACAGTCGATATCTTGCTAAATAAGGTCTGCTCCGAATGAAAGGCCTTTTGGGGGGAGCTCGCCTTCGGTAGCAATAGCCACATATATTGACACTTCAACAACACGGCACTGGCACAGTTCAGCCCTGAATGGTGCTACTCCGCAAACATTCTACAAGGCAAAAATGGCAGGTTGTCAATCAGGCTTGGAGGCCACTACATGGCCAATAAACTCAAGATCCAGTCCTACAATGTCTGAAACCCCACAAAAAACCCCAAGGTGCTCACCAAGAAAGCCAGCCGACAAAGTCAAGGGTATACTTGCATCCATTCAACAGGCAGGGTGGACTATCCCTAATCTTATGTACTGGCTCTTTGTAGTCAAAGATCAGAAAGGCAACAAAATAGAAAGAAAACCAAAACACATACAGATGTTGAAGTCGTTTCTCAACAGCTCATGCATACATCGGGGGACCGGGGGGACGCTGGTAAAACCAGTCGGAGTTTATAACCGGACTGATGACTGCCGACTGCCGCCTGATCATCAGGCTTTATCTAGTTTTACCTTCGGTCTGAAGAATTACGCCAAACCAATGGTTAATTGTGATTTCGTGTCAGTACATCTTTATCCCATATTGAACAGCCTGTCTGATATCAAACAACAGGTTAAGCCCAACTGAGTATAACAATTTGTAAGAACATATCTTCCTGACCAGAGTTCCAGACTGAACTCCAGTGAGCATAAAAGCACGTCAAAAAAAAGGGTAAAAATCTGATGGGGTACTAGTCAAAGTGTCCATAGTCTTGTGCCAAGTCGTCACTGTACATATCAATGTAATCTTCAATCCTATCCAACTCAATCTCATCTGCATCATTAATGTCCAAGTCTGACTCGGAACTATCCCCAGAACTCTCCATAAAATCTAAAACATCGGAGTTGTATGGGCCCTCTTCCACCTCTTCCACATCTGAACCGCTGAGGCTGATGTTGTCCAGGTCTATAGGTTGACGTGGAGGTGTTTCTTCAGGCTCAACCATTGATATTATATCAGCTGGGTCATTGTTCATCGCAGGTGCTGCTGTTGGATTTGGCTGTCTTTCGGTGAGCGTTTGTGAGTCTCTGGTATAGACATGTCCGGGGGCAAGGCCCCAGTGATAGCGCATGAAGATATCGCGGTCAGCAAACCTATATACGGGACACAAGAAAGCATGTCAATTGCAAAAAGCAATGTAGATAGAATACGCACTGATTAACATAATAAAATTTGTATTCTTATGTGTTACAATAACACATTTTTTGGACCTTTCCTTTAATTTTCATTCTCCGCTTTAACCTTTTACTATAGTTCACACTCCGTGCCATACGGAATTTTCCTTTTTTGTTCTAACTCCACCTTCTGGCGCAGTGCTGCCTTTATTCTTCTTTTAGACTTGAACTCTCTCACACAGTGGAGCTGGTCACACGGGCTGCACCCTCTGACATCATCAGCCACTGCCTTTATCAACTGTACAGTACATAGGTACAAACACTCTGTATTAGTATAAATACCCCAATAGATCAAGGAGACTCCTCAGCGAGTCCTCCTGTTGTATACCAACAAACTCTCTGCAGCTTAAGGGGTAACCAATCCCTCTTCACTACCTTTATAGTGTGTTCCTGTGTGCGCCAGAGTAACTAACTCTTGGTTGTTACATTATGAGTCTCTTGCGGATAGCGACAAACCAATCCCATTAGGGTGAGCTTTTTCTTTTGAAAACCTCGGAATTATGTGACAGCCTCAAAGGATATCTTCTGGGTCAATAAATCTGAAAGTGTTGTCGTTGTCCATTGGTAAAAATGAAAGTTCCTCTAATGCATTGGTTGCTTCTGTGGGTTTGGAACGTTGATACCATCTGACCCACACAAAGTATATGCAATGAGCTTGATAGTTGACCATTCCTGGTCCTACATATATAACATTGGAATGATAGATACCCAATACCTTTGCATACCAGAAAAAAACTCCTGAAGGATCATCAGAGCTCGCAAAGACCATGATATGGTTGCTTGATGTATTCGGATGGATGATGTCTTGAGCACGTCGGACATCATAAGAAGTATAATTAACTCAAAGAATGTGGTGTTGATACATACAACCATCCTTGAAGACAATTTGAGCTGGATCCCACTCCAAATTCATCAAAAGGCTTGGGTTGGTAGAAGAGTCACTGGTGTGATGTAGATTGAATGTCATGTACTCCGACAATGCCAGGGCTTGCACTCTTGGCAATAGATGGCTCTGAAGCTTTATGATAAAGTTCTAGACAAAACGACACAATATTAGCCAGAGTAGTAATCACACAACAATTTAATTCCCCTTCAAGGCTGGATCACCAAATTTAGTACGCAAGAATAAACCTATATTAATTGGGTTATTTTGTGTGACTCCGATAATGTGGTGGACGTTGGGTGACAATGCAACACCATCAGATTTGAGCTGAGCTGACTTGGGAAGAATAGATAGTCTATCTTGAATCCCCCAAATTTGAGTTTGTTGCCGGTCAATGTTAGCTATCTGTTTGACACGTCCCTTTTTGCTGGTTTGAGTATATGAAGTCTTTGATGTACGATGTGCAAGCTTGCCCTATGAGACATATGTGAGCTTCAAAGACAAAACAAAACACTCAAACTCACAATTTGGGTTGTATACGAGTCAGTAGTGCCTTCTAATAGTTGATACAGTGCAGGTCTTGTTATGAAATCTGCAAAGTAGCTGCCCAAATACAACTGTTGAATGATCAAGAAGGTTAAGGGTTTGGTCCGTGTGCATTCAAAGCTTTGCCAGCGCATGCCATTGGGCTACAACAAATATGAAGTCAAGTATGTCTTGATTGTGAGGCTCTGGTAGGAGCCCGTCAAATACTGGAATCATACACTAAAACAATAACATAAGAATGTTGATCTGGCAAATAAAAATGTGGACGCACCTGAAGGAGGTCCTTATAGTCTCAAGCGGCCATCCTCTTTATCTCTGATGAATTAGTAGAGAATTTCCTGATTGTGTCTCGTCCAAATGATGGAACATTCCTGAAACTAGAATGATAATCAATGAAAAGCTTTCTGGGATGAGACAGAAGAATGTGCACTGTCTATCAAACTCATCAATTAATGCTTGACCCTGGCAGCGCAGTATGCGCATGTAGATCGCTTTCCAAACTCCCAGTTCAATTTCATGTAGAATATCTGCAGGGAATAGCAAAAATATGTTGACATTGAAAGGTGAAAGTTTGCGGAAAGTGCACTCTAACAGAATCCTCAGTATAATAATACAACTACAACAGTTCAGGCTTACTGTTGTTGGTACCAAAACTGTGGCTTGAGAAGCCTTTCGACTGCTGTGCTATTGACAGCATAATTGTCTTTATAAATCAGTTTCCGGGCTGCTGATATCTTTGCTAGATATGTAGTGTTGTTGACATGAGCCTTTGTTTGTCATAGCTTCCTATCTTGAGGTGATCCTATGTTCAATATCTGGCTCATCAGAATCAAGCACCGAGGGCATGGGCATTGACCTAGGTTGCACAAATACAAAAGTAGAATTCTGAATAAACTTATAGTCAGTAAAGCAAATGACCATGATGGAGAGGCTGATAGTTCCTCTCAGGATAGTCGGCACTGTATGTGAAAAATCAAATATAAAACCGACGTTGGACCCTGTCGAAACATTTGACTATAATACCATGTTTGCAGGCTTCAATTATGTCATTGTCCAGGAGTATATCCCACTGCGCATGTGTGAATTCACGATTACAGTGGGAAAAAAAAATTTGAGTTGATGCCTTTTTGACCTGCAAAACCCGTTGTGAAGTCTTTAAATGAGTCTGGCAGCTTTGAAAAATAAATGATGAGTAACAATTGAGTAACAGTGTAGTTAGGATTCACCACTTCAAAATATGCAATATTGTGGCACGAGTGACTGTTGGGTCTGCTTTGCTGATACTTTGATTCATTACCAAAGAATATACACAATGGCCATAATTTTCTGGTTGAGAATGCTGTCAGCTGAGTTGCGTCTGACCAGAACATCAAGGCAAGGATGCAATGCTCCAACTCACAACCAGGCTCCCTTGGTAACTCCTGGATTTCTTGATGGGCCTCAATGAATGCTGGTGATGTATAAAGCTCCCCATATATTTTTATTTCCTCTCTACCTTCTGGTTTCCACTTTAAATTGTAGGGGACAAAATAAAACTGCAAACTATTTGGGTTGGAGAGTTGCTCTCGAACAACTAAAAGGATGGGACAGTGGTGGAAATCTGCTGTTGTAAAGTCCTGGGCATCTGGAACCTGCATTCTTTTGTGGAAAGGTACTGAGAATGTCACAGATGTACTTCTCCATTCACTTTTTCCCTCTGGGTCTCCGCTTATGTCCTCACCAGCTAGTGTGCAATTGATTTTTTTCCAACTAGCCTGTCCTATATCCGTTGGCAAAACTCTGGTGCAGTAATTATATCACAGAGTTTTTTGAAGTTTTTTTGTGATATCTGATTCCCATTGTTCCAATACCAGTCTCCGAGAAGGAATAAACTCTCGTTTGGGTAAGGATAATATGGATTATGAAGGTTTTGGTCTTTATTGTTGGATTGAGAAGTTTTGGTGTTATTGTTGGGTGTACATAGATCTTGTAACAACAGAAGATTATCTGGATCATGTGATGGAAGGCCATAGTGGTATTCTCGTACAAAGCCAAAGATATTTTTCATTGAATGAAAGGCTTGTGATGATATTTGATTGTGATTGGAATTGTGATGTGTAGAAGATGTGACTGTGGCATTCAAGTAGATATCAGATGATTTGGAAGGTGGTGGTAAAGATATATATGTTTGTGGAACAATGTCTCGGAATTGCTTGGGCAGCCGACAATTAGTCTGTTGTGTGCAACGGAGTGAAAGGGGGGAATCATTCTTTACAAGATTAATATCCTATTGTCTATTTGTCAGAATAAGAAGTCAGAAAAAAATGAGTCTCACATCATGAATGGGGGGAACAGTTTCAGCATCATCATGCTGTACATTTGATGGCTGTACCACTTCTTGAACACAAGACTTTTTTTAATGCAAAATAATGTGCACTCTGTTGAGTAGACTGGAGATTTCTCGCTTGCGTTTTTTATACGCCTTCTGTGTAGAGAGAATGGCCCAGGTTTGTTGAATGTCCATCAGCAAATGTGATCCATAGTTCAAGTCTGCACGTTGGGGGTGAACACTGTGCACTATGCATCATAACCATGGGACTCCGGAGAACTTGGAGAAATAGTAACGTAAATAAGAGAACATGATCCGGAGAGCAGAGCCAAGGGTTTACTTATGGTATATCCACAACCAGAACTACGGACAATCAGCTCAGGAACGTCTCCACAATTATCCAAAACAAGCAATCAGCCTTACATTAATATGCTATAAGTAACGACAAGCTGAAGCAAATAGACTTCACACTTGAAAAAACCCTGCAGCCTCCTTCTTGATATCATGGATCACACTCAAGCTTCTACCACAATTAGCACATATTGTGAACTTGAAGATGCTATGTCAGTTGTTACAACCGAGCCAGCCACCCCAGTTGACACTGATGCATAAGTAAGCATACATTCAATGTTCAATTTTGGATGACAAAAGCTGACCAGCTATTATGATAGGCTGCCCATGAGGCAGCTGCACTTTCATTACATGGCCTAATGTGCCTGTATACTGCATTTGTTTGATTTCACTGAAAAGACTGTAGTCACAAGCCATGCATTCCTAGATTTGCGAGAAGAGGTCCACATAGGAGTAAAATGATCTATTGAGAGGAAGAAAAGAAAGAAAACGGCAAAGTCAAAGAGGTCAGGAGGTGTTACAGGTATGAGAAAAAATTTATTAGCTTACCTGATACTAATTGTTTGAGAAGGGAAGTGATGGCAACGACAAAATGGGCGGCTGCAAAGATGTGGTTCATCAGCCTGATGTGTTTCTCAATAAATAAATGTATTAGTACCTACACAATGCTTTGTTACATACCTGTACTTCGACACATACTTGTTTCTGTACCTCTCACAGATTGCCTGTTATCCTTACAGACTTTGGAATGATTCACAGGTTGGGAATATTTCAGCTGGTGGGAATAATAGATGAAATACGTTATAAAGAGAGTATGGAGAACATACTGACCCGGACAACTTGGACAGTGTGATGTGGGGCCTCGAGGCTTCTGCATATTTACTGCACATCCGAAATTTTTGTGCTGGCAGCGACCTGTACTAATTAGTCAGTAATCCACCAGACCGTTTAAATCTGTAATGGAGAAATGGAGAATGATGAAAGATTTTAAAATGTACCTCGCTTTAGCAGCAAATGGCTAGTCTTTTTTGGTCTGTCAGGGACAGACCAGTAAACTGGTGCATATCAGCAGACCATGATGATCCGAGCTCGTAGTAAAGGTAGGACCTAGCTGTAGGATGATTCAGCTATAAATAAGATCATCAAGATCAAAATGATAGAGTTGGACCACGCACCGCTGCTGTCAATCTCATTAAACATGTCACAGATAATAACTGAGCCAGATGATGATGTAGGATCAGGCTTTAATCCACAAATTCAGCATGTCCACAATAATGCTCTAAAAAAAAGCCCTCGCAAGTGTCCGTAAGTCTTGAGGCTCCGAGTCTAACACTGATCAACTGTTATGGTCATTGCCTTGTTTAGCCGTATTTGTAGCCCAAGCACAAGTTATGGACGACACTTCTGTTGGGTAATCCATCCATTCTCCAATATTCGAGCTCTCTTGCTTAATGGGCTTCTTCAAATGAGCGAAGACCAACCTCTGGAGGAACTTTCTGTTGAGTAAGTTTAGTTTTTGCACTTTTATTACCATCTTCCACTATTCTTCACCAAACATCAATTTTGCAGGGAGCATCGAGAAGATGAAGTCTTCAAGACTTTATTGAACATGATTCCAGGCTTCAAGGATCAGCTTACCAGTGCTTCAATCTCAGAAGATGACATTGAAGCTATCAGCGAACTAGTAAGTGCCTCATGATATTCTATGTTTTGCCTGAAATTTTTTGAAGATCCAGAAAGGCTGCTCTGGAGCTCAATCTGATGACACCAAGGCCCTCAAAGGTTAAAATATTAACTGGATTACACCAAAGGGTCATAATTTGGACCCTCCACTTCATCAAAACATCAAGTCTACTCGGGGTTTTGGCCATCCAGTTACTGGCCAGCTACTCTGTCCAGCGAGCCTCGATTGGAATGACTTAGAGTGAGTGGTTCCATTTTATTATGTAGACTTGTCAGGCTAGCTGACTAATTAGTGTTTGAGCTAAACTACAGAGTGGTGAAACACTTATCACAAGCGACCAATGGCCTTTGTTTCTTTATGCTGGCCTTGACTATGACAGTACAGACCCCTGGAAGGGCTTGCTCCATAATAATCTTCTTGTCTTGGTGAGTTATTACATTCTAAATAAACATTATACACATGTCTCATCAGTCTACTAGGCTTATAAATACATATTTCTATCTCCATCATCTGTCAATTCCAACACTGAGGCCTATGCCACTCGCTCTTCAAATGCCCACTTGCATGGTATGCACCAAGTAACACATGGTTCTATTGCATACATAGCTACACAAGTAAGTGCTATAGGTATTTTACTGTGCCCATCTTACTGACTTCGAGCCAGGTTTGTTTTGCATTTTTAATCCAATTGGTTTTCTCTTGTACCGACACTATCACTGACTCCGAGTGGTTTTTTAATAGCATCTTGGGTCTTCTCCAAGATCCCGATGAGATTGAGGAGGTCAATGACCTCATTGCTTGGTGGAATCAGTATGTTCTTGACTGTCCCCCATGCATCTTAGTTTGTAGTGTAGTGTGCTAAACCATCACTACAGAAAAAATTTCCCATCCTCGTTGTGCCAAGGCATGTTGCCAGCAAAATTCAGTGCTCTTGCTAGGATTTGAGAGAAGCGTGCTGCAGTGAAAGTTGCCAACAATGTGTAGTTCGAGTTGTTCTGTCATGTACTGCCTGTACCATCATTTTTGTATTTTTTCTGTATCACAAAAAGGCTTTTGTTTTGTCATTCAGTCAAATTGTAAACCATTCAGACCTGTAATATCATACAAGATGGCACACATTTCATGCCCATCAGTGGGACAACTATGGTATTGTGTTAGCATGTAATATCATTCCTAGGCCCATTGCAATTAGTAAAATACAAGTGCAGATTTTGTACCTATGCATCAGTGGTATGCTCGTAGTTCAAGCCCTTGTGATTCATACAACTCAGACACATATGCTAGCGAGCAATAATCTATAGCTACAAATATAGCTACTGATTGTTCTTAGAATCAGACATCATTCTTACGCTGTTGGCGAGAATGACCTACTTAATCTAGCCATGTAAGGACTTACAAATGAGTGTGTCTGGCTGATAATGATTTTGTACCTTATTGTTATTATAAGGCTTTATAAGGCTTGTCCAAACTCTCACTGGTCCCCCGATGTAGCTCCCCCTCTCTTGGACAAATCATTAACCTGCTCTATGACATAGGCCAATCCAAAGATTCACTTATACAAGCTTATGTATCTGGAGGAGTGGAGATCAGTGAGATTACAAAACCGAGCTCTGCACTCACTGTGTGGGCCATCAATCATATCACCACCATAATAACAACTGAAGCAACTGTTATAATATCAAAGCAGGCTGGGTTGCAGGTGAGGGCCCGAGCCACTGGTGAAGGAGTTCAACAAACTCAGGGTGTTCCTGTGTCATAGAATGTGGTAAAAAACTTCAGTTTTCTAAAGCTCCAGTCCATAATACAAAAACACACACCAACAATGTGGCACCTCACAAACGTTTATTGCAATCCCCAATTCTAGGACTCACAGCACTATTCTGAACATCAAAACCGTCCACAGACTCTAGTATGTGGCCTATCATTTATTTTCCAATCTTCTCATGACATTAATTACAGGATGTTATTGATTGTATCCTGGAACTTACCTTTGTTCGCTCAAAATGGGTCAATTATACTGCACTATGCAGGGGCCTCTACCTATTCACTACCAAAGCCCATAGGTCCCATTTCCGTATTGAAAGCCGCTTGGGGCGCTCAGTAGTATACAACACAGTATGGGAAGCCTTATTGACCATGACCTGTGATACGCTAGTCTAGCTTTGGGCTGCTACTCAAGCCAACTCCAGGAGGTTCTTCAGTGTAGTGGGCAACAATGTGCAAGCATTTGTGAGAAAGCTAGATAACCGAATAGGGCTGGAAAGCCGTATGGTGAAGGGATTTGCAGGTACAGCAATTGAGCTGCAAGATGTTGACCCCAAAGCATTTGATCTAGAGCTGTTGAATCAGAGACAACTGCTACAAGAAAGAAAAAGCCCCAAAGTCAAGACCATTTTAAATGATTTTGAATTACATCACCTGGAGAATATCTGAGCCATACAGGCTCTGATTGATTTTGTTCTGGTTTTACACATCTACAAGACACATATGGACGGGGCCTATAATTCTATTGAAAAAAATTGGATTAATCCTACACAAAAATCATACCTTTGGCCACCAATAACACTGACAAAATGCACATCCAAGGCATGAAGGATGCTGTGGTAGATCTATTAAAAACACAAATGAATCTTGATGCTGAGGAATTGAACAACCATGTGATGGTGTTCAGCAAGGATGGCAAGACATTTGATCAGCTTCAAAAGCTAAAAAGGTATCTGTTATGTCCAAACACAATAGAGCCAACAACCAGATGGTAGCAGGAGAAAGGAGAGAGGGAGAACAAGATAGGGGAGGTGAAGAGGATGAGGGAGCTAGTGATGAAGCTAGTGTTCTATCAGACTTGATGACAGTTAGTGAGATGGGCAAAGCCGACTCACAGAGAGATGTGTCGCTAGCTAATGCGATACTCTTCATACAGAATACACTGTGGTGGCGTGAAGTACAGTGTGCCATAGCAACTGGTGATACTGGAAGAGTCTGTGAGATTCTCAAGGTCAGTTGGAGATTCTTGAACACAATATGAGACTCACTTTTACGGGTAAATATGGATATTTACCTTTGCAGGATCGGGAAATCCATATTATTTGCATTATCTTTTTGAACTTTACTGCTCCTTCAAGTGGGAGTTTCCAGCAAAATTGACACAGGCTATATCAAACAACTGGTTGGAGAACTTGTATGGCTAGCTAGGGTGTTTTATCAAGTCGGATTTGCTGAAAGGACATCAAAACTTATGGTTAGAAGAAATAGTTACTCACAAAGGCAAAGAGTTCGAGGACCCATGTTATCGATGGGTTGTTTCCATCATGTCATGGCATTCCTGAAACTAAAAGAAGAAATAGAACAAGCAGTATCACTACAAGCTCAGAGTAAATCTCATGGCTCACCTGGGTTGGATAACAAACTTCAAGCACTCATGCACTGACTGCGAAATGGTGAGATCCATCAATGATGTCCTGGGTGAGACACGGGATTTGAGGCACCTGACAACTTTACAAATGGTGTAGAAATTCCAAACAAAGGAAAACTGAAAGGGTTAATTGCACAAAGTACGGCCCATCTCGACATTTTGGGAATACATGGACCAAGTACACTACTTGAGGAAGAGGGAGTGGGTGATGGAGACAATTTATGGAGCACACCGAGCAATAATCTTATACCACAGTGCACTCACTTGCAGCAACCAGAACCGCCAATGTACCTGCAAAGTGGGGATAGTGGGTTTGTGGTGTAACAAATAGATAATATATCATTATAGCACTTACTTGGGTACCTTGCTGTTCACCACCATTCACCTCTATTGAGTCACCTTCCTCTTCATATAATGACAGCTTCTCCACACTATAGTAGTTGAGGTCGCTTGTCAGGAATAGCTGGAGCAGGGCTGGGGTTGGTTGTTGAGTCATGCTTCAATGTGTTCTGTACACCTGGGAGTGGGAAGTGCGGGAAGTAGGGTGGGTGGTGGTAGAATAAGGGAGGGTGGTAGGTAGGTTGTAAAAAATAAGGAGGTGGTAATGTATGCTACATCGAAGAGTGTATATTAGTGTGAGAAGTAGTAGGATAGATATAATTAAAATGGGATGGAGAAGGAGCAAGGGAATAGGCCAGCTGCTGGTATTGAGGATACAGCGTGTCAGATATTTGAGCAGGCAATGAAGGTGAGAGGGATTGATGTTCTAGAATGTCAGGGATATTTTCTTTATCAGTTTGCTTGCTACTTTTTTGCATAGTCGATAATCCTGTAGAAGTAGGCCAGTGAATTACATCCAAAGCTGGCAAAGATACTCACTCTTTGCATTGTTACTAGCTCTTGTCTCTGTTCTCTTCTTGTTGCTGGAAATCCGGGTTTTGATGACCCTGGCATTGTATCTACAGTTGAGTGACTCAATAAGTTTGAATAGTGCTTGACCATCGTCCTCAAAATATGGCCAGTCTTGCAAGAGGCTGCTGAGTTGATAATATTGGTAAGGACTTTGCCTTGAGCCCAGTAAATGGTGTGTGGGACTATATTGTTGAGAATATTGTCCTTTCTGTACCAGCATTCAAGTGTGAACCATTGGAGTTTTTCCCTTGCGTGCACTTGCAATTCGGCCGTGAGTTTGGGTGGGGGAGGAGGACCAATTATCTTGGTTTTGCAAGGCTTGATGGTGTGACTGTTGGCATCACTTGGCAGTGCTAACACATTGATGGGGGGCTTGCAGGAGCTGCAAGGCAGTTGTTGGTTGGCCTGGATGCAATCCTGTCATGCAAATTCACCAGGATTAGCGTAGATAGTGTTGAGGGTGGTTTGTAAAAACTGTTGTTTTATGTGAGCGGTGAGAAAGTGCACAAGATTTGGTTCAACGCCTTTAATGCTCGGTTTCTCTACCCCTATCCTTGAGGCTATTGGTTTGGAACGTGTTTTTTTTTGTTCTTGCCCGGTTTTTTTTTTGTTTTTTTCCCTTCATAATTCTTGTCCTTTTTCTGGCTTGTTTTTGCTGCTGTACCTGACTTTTCCACCAACTTAGCCGCTTGTTTCTCTTGCATAGAAATATGTGCTCGTATTTTAGAAATCACTGACGGTTCTACATAGGTGTAACAAATTGCATCACACCCATTACATATGACTCCTCCTTTTTGCTGAACCAGGCCGCTAGCATTGTCAGTAAGCCAAGGTTAGCTTTGCACATTATGTTTGGTTGATTGATACCCAACCGGCAATAGTCCCAACAATAGCACAAGTGGATGCATTGTTTGTAAGCAGGTCCAATGTTTCATTGTGATACATGCACTCTATGCAGGCGCTCAGGACCAGGTGGGAGTGTCCTCCACAGGTATCTGGCCACTTGTACCACTAACGTGTTTGTTTTGCAATATACAACAACCTTATTTCCAGGTTCTAGAACCCATTGCAGCTCCAGAAAAACTGCCTCACCAAGCCCATGCATAAGTTCTTTGATTATTAGTTGAATATTATGACTTTCATTAGACTGACAAACATATTCATATTGTCCCTCCTTTAGCCCAAGACTTTGACAGACCAATTACTTTCCTGCAGGATCAAGTGTTGCTGTGACAGCATGGTCCATCAGCCTTTGACATATGTTGCACACATGTTGATAGGCCTGTCAAAATTTGTCCCCCCATGTAGTGACAATGTGGGCCTCGTCAATTCCCAAGAGCACTAAGTTGGATCTTGCAAAGCCACATTGGCCTCAGCTGCATGGAGCTTTTCTGGACTCCATATTGACACTAGCCATTGACACTGCCAGATTTCATCCAACAGGTTGTGCCCTTCCTCACAAGCCGTTTGAATGCTATTGCTATGAACAGCAACAGCTTTGATGTTCAAAGAACACATCTCTGCAGCCTATGGTCCTGGTGAGTCATTTATAGTCTCATTTTTGTTTATGGACTTACTTGGGTATCTCCTAGTGCAATTAATGGAGTGATCATTATTATCACTCGGTTCCTTGGGAGCACGCCCATGACTCCAGTCCCACCAACACACACCATGTCTAATATTGCAGCATCTAAACCCACAATGATTGGAAAGATTGATGACTTTGATGGGACCCCAGATAAGGCCCAAAGGTGGATATCATCCACAGATTTACACTTCAATATCAACAACACCATTTACACCTCTGACAAAAAAAGGTGTATGTAGCACTCATCTACATGAAGAATGGGACCGCCACCTCGTGGAGCGAAGCCAAAATGACCGAATACAAAGCAAAGAACACCTACCCCTCATGGGCAGACTTCATGAAAACCTTCACAGCCAGCTTCAGAACAACAAACATCAAAGGAACGGCCTCAGCCGCCTTGATGAAAATGAAGATGGAACCAGGAGAAAATGCAGTGGCATTTAACTCAAGATTCATGCTAGATGCCAGGAAGAGCGGCATCAACAACGGAGCCATGATCATGGTTTATCAGAAAGCAATCCGACCTCCCCTCCTCCGTGGAGCACTCACCGGAAAGGAACCGGTCACCATAGAAGATTGGATGAACACGGTGGCAAACCTAGATGCTAACTGGATCAGTGCCAATGTTATCTCCAAAGGGATGTGGGGTACCAGAAACAAGGAAAGACAGAACAACAAAAATTGCAAAGGTGGACCACTCACTAGCGCAAAAAGAGTGACCAAAGACGAAGAAGAAACCAGAAGGAAAGAAGGGAGATGCTTCATATGCAACAAAAAAGGGCACATAGGAAGGAATTATTGGAATGAGGGGAAGACTCCCGAAAGAAAGGTACATCAAGCCAAAACGGAAGATGACACCAAAACAGTGGTAGAAGAAGACAGGGTCCAAAACATTATGAGGATGTGGAGGGAGTTAGGAGAAGATCAAAGAACAGAGGCGATGAAAAAATTAGAAGACGAGGGTTTTTAAAACGACGGACTACCCCGATGTTAGTACCATCAAAAGTGGCAACTGTAACAATAGCAACAATCAATGCCAACTCTTTACAAATTGATTGCTCGTTAAAACAGAAAACCATTGGAACCAAAGCCCTGATAGATAGCTACAGATGACTTTATGGACACAAAATTCGCCATCAAACACCGACTCCCCCTCCAAAAACTCCCAACTCCTATAATGTGTAAAAACATTGACAAAACTACGAACAAAAATGGAAAAATTACGCATTATACCTATGAGAGGATAAATGCAGGAGGACAAAACAGGTTTACAAAGTTCCTATTGACCGGACTAGACGGAGAAGACATATTACTGGGGTTTCCCTGGTTATAAAAATTCAATCTAGTCATTAACTGGAAAGGCAAAGAATTACCAAACCCAGACAAACACTCCATCAGGACAAGCCAGACAACCACCAAAACAAAGAACAGGACAACCGCAATAAAAGAAGACATATACAAAACCATTCATAGATATGTATCCAACCAAACACCCTATCCTCAAACCACAATTAGGTTAAAGGTCAACTCAGCAATGGAACACGCGCAAATACATGGAGAAAAGAAGGAGCATATCCTCCCGGATGAATATAAAGGGTATTCGGACGTCTTTAACAAAAAGAAGTCAAAAAGACTCCCCAAGTGACGGGAATATGATCATGTAATCAACATGAAACTGGAATTTGTACCAACAGATTGCAAAATATACCCATTGGCACCAAAGGAAGACAAAGTGTTAATAGAATTCTTAACAGAAAACTACAGAAAGGGATACATCAGACCGAGCAAGTCGCCACAAGTGTCCCCCTTCTTTTTCATCGGCAAAAAGGACAGATCACTCCGACCATGCCAATATTACAGAAAACTAAACACATATACCGTGAAAGACCCATATCCAGACGCACTCTTGAGGAGACGTGACTTATACATCGACAACAAAGAAGACAACAACGACACACCAATGATACCAGCATCAGCATTCTTATATCACACACGAACAATAAAAGACGCTATTGAGCAAGCAATGCTCACAAACAACAACTATCCAGGACAAACAAAGAAGGAAGATTAGAGCAAAGAAGAAGGACAGTTTTTCTATCAGAATAAACTACTAATCGACGAAGCAGAGGAATAAAGAAAAATCATTAAAGATCACCACAACTCCCTAACGGCGGGACACCCAGGAAGGCTAAAAACCTACCAATTAATTAAAAAGGCCTACTGGTGGCCAGGATTGATGAAACAAGTAGAAGAATATGTGAAAGGATGCGCAACATGCCAGCAAGCAAAAGTAAATATGCATCCAACTACAGTACCGTTAATACCAAATCAAACCCCGGAAACCACAGAACCAATGAAGTATCTCTCTGTGGATTTCATAACAGACTTACCAGAATCATCAGGATACGATAGTATAATAGTCGTAGTAGACCAAGGACTTAGTAAGGGAGTAATCCTCTCACCCTGTCATAAAACCATTGATGCACTCTAAACTGCACAAATCTTCTATGATTCTGTCTTCAAACAATTTGGATTACATGATAAACTCATATTTGACAGAGGACCACAGTTCGCCTCTAAAGTATCCAGAGAACTCCACAAACTCCTGAACATTAAAACCGCACTCTCCATGGCGTATCATCCACAAACAGACAGACAGACGGAACGATCAAACCAAGAACTGGAGATCTACCTCTGCATCATCTTCCAGAACCAACCGCACAGCTGGGCAAAATACCTTACAACCGCCAAATTCTGCCACAACCAGCGACCACACTCTACAAACAACCAATCACCATTTTACCTCCTCATGGGATACGAACCCCGAGAAATCCCGACTAAATACCGACCCACAAATATCCCATCTGTAGAAAAACAATTATCCGAACTACTTAGGGCAAGAGAGAACACCCTCAAAGTACACAGACTAGCAAGAAGCAAAATGATGAAACAAACAAACGGCAAGTTCACCAGATTCTCCGAAGGACAAAAGGTGTGGCTTGAAAACACCAACCCACGGGAAAGAGCTACCGGATACAAAAAGTTCAACATGAAACGCATCAGACCCTTCTGCATCCAAGAAAATATTTCCCCGGTAAACTACCGATTATCCCTGCCTCCCCATTGGAACATACACAACATTTTCCACGCATCCCTCCTATCCCCGTATACCGAGACCGACACCCACGGACCAAACTTTACCCAACCACCACCTGACCTTGTCAACAAAGAAGAAGAATACAAAGTAGAAAGTATTCTTAGACACACAAACCCTGGAAACGCGGACACTGTTACCTGATCAAATGGCGCCATTACCCTCATTCTGAAAACTCATGGGAACCAGAAAAACACCTGAAAAATGCTGCAGAGATACTGGAAGCCTATAAAAAGGACCACAAACTATGTTGAAGGGACAACCACCACCACCACTACCACCAACTCCCTGTCTCTCAAACATGTCCATGTCCCACTCCACCGGCCTTCCTATCACCACCTACACTATACCCGGCGAAGTCAACATGCTAGCCAATGAACGCGTGTCCTTTGCTTGCGGGCAATGACACAACCAAGCTGACATCTCTGACACCATTGAACTGATGTCAGCCAAACATTCCTACGTCTATTTATTTCACGAAACAGCAAAATGTTATCCCAATGTGTACCACACTCTTTCTTCCCTACATGCCTTCCTTGCCATAGACCTCATAGCTGACAAACTCGTAAAAGCCATAGACTCACTATGTTTGTTGGAAAACAAGCATTTGCTGCTCAGCAGTCAGGACTCGAGTATCTGTTGGGCACTCCGGATGGAAAAGTTAGTTTGGGAATCTTTGGAACAACGCTTGAGGATGAACTCCTTGAATGGGCAGACAGACACGGCAAAGGCATATTTGGAATTAGGTGGGAAGATTTTGCTAACAGAGGCACGCACGCGGATAGAGCAAGACAGTTGTACGAGTACTCCTCCACCCAATTTATCCCGCCGGTCCCTATTGTACCCCAAGCAGACCAGTGTTACCCCGGAGCCCACTTACCACATTGTCACCCGACAACCTCCGTCCACCCCGTCAGTGGAAAAATACATTCCCACCGTCCCAACCAGCCCAATCTTGCAAGAGTCGAACCCTTCCAGTCCCTGTTCCATTGGGCTAAACCCAAAACCACAGACATCCCAGTTGCCTCCGCCTCAACCAGTGCCAAATGGCCTAACCCATTGTTGTCTGACGAACCAACGAGGAGCCTGACATGGCCGACAGGAAGTGATACTCCAGATCCCCGCCGGCAGAACTCCATCAAAACGGCAATCTCATACGTCAGGGAGTTGGAAAGACAGTCTGCCTGGCGTGACACACAAGCCTAAGCCTGGTTCTCCTTCCAACCCAATCAATGTAGACAATGCTGACATGATCAACAAGTTGTATGCAGGAACATATGACTTGAGAGATGATGATCCCCCACTCCCCAATCCCACACCTCGTCCAACACCAGACAAAAATACCACCAAGGTGTTCGCAACAACGCTGCATCAGGAAAAATGGGGGTAGCTATATAGAGCTCTATAGCACTATAAGTGCTCATAAAGCTGTTACAGTGGTCAAACCTGTTATAGAACCTCTGCCATCTATAGAGCCTCATATAGCCCTATAAATGCTCTTATAGATGTTGGGAATTATTGTGTGGCTGATAAAAAAATTAACACAGACAGGATTTGAACTCTCAACCTGCTAGTCAGCTTTTGGGTGACACATTACATATTTATCCACTACACCATGAGAGCTTATAAAATATATTATACAGATGTTATACATTGACCTTTCATAGACTTAGGTTATTTTGTTACTCATTGTCACCACTTATACTTGGATAAATTATTATTCTCATTTTTATAAATATCAAAGATACAAACTACTATTTCACTAATACAGGCTACATAATTGATTAATACTGTATGATTCATTAGCCCTTTTAAGCAGCTTCAACTATGTTATAACTATGACCTTTACAGCTATAAAAGCACTTATAGTACCTTGCCTATAATAATATACTTGACTCCAAATACTTCTGGCCTTTTTCTATTATTGAACAAGTTTATTAGATTAATCCAAGAGTTTGAGGGAATTATAGATATTTCTCCCCTTGGTTAAAATTTTGCCTACTACTGTGCTATAAAAGCTATAAGAGCTATGATTGCACTGATAGTACTATAGTTTCTATAAATGCATTTATATATATAGATGGTGGCTATATAGCAAAAGGGTTTTTCCCAATGTGCCTACTGCAAAAACTGCAGTTGGAGTGGTCATCGCACCTACTACTGCGAAGCCTACTACTGCCCCGATTGTGACCGTTGTGCACTGGGACATAGTTTCAATTGGTGTCCTATTCATATGGAAAACAAAGATAGGATTCTAATGGAGGGATTACATGGAGATGTTAGCTATGACGACAGTTACAACATAGATGGTGAAGATACCGAATTTTGGTGAAATTCAAAGCAAGTAAGGGGGTAATGTTATGATTTCTATTCTTTTTATGGACTACTCATTTTTCTTTACTCATCGGTTATACCATCGGACCGATGACTCATTTTCTTCATGTATATTTCTGTTTTCTTTGCAGACTGCATTGCCTAGTATAGTAGTTAGCCCTCAACGGGCAAGCCTCCCCTAGATAGGACCTAACTCCTATCACCGATCCTATTTCCTATAAATACCATTGTAACAGTAGTAGTATTTCTTCAATACAATTCTACGCAGTTTACACTTGCAAAGCTAGACTCCTAAGGTCAGACTTCTACCCAGAAGAAGACCAACTCTCATTGGAAGAACTCTACTCAGAACTACGTCCTCAAACTTGTCTTCGGATAAGTCTCTTTGAACCCTCGACGAATCCTCAGACTTTGTTAAGCACTTTGTGCGTAACACATTGTGAGAACTGAGATACAAATTACATGAAAAAAAGTTTGCAACAACAGGTGAAATTCTATGCTAAGCAAGCGGCAGACACAAATGACAGTACACACTTCACTATAATACCTTTACCTGATCAGCATCAATCATGTTATGTATGCTCTAAGTCCAAGCCTCAAGGGAGAGGACTTGCGTGAATACAGTGCAGCTGACACCTGTAACGTGCAGGGAGGTAAATACAGTGACTCCAAAAACTGTTGCAATATTTGGCCTAAACGCGATGTGTGAAGCGCACTGCCAACAGGTGTGGAAATTTTGCTTAGCTTTGGTGGGGTTGACAAAAGTGCTTGGTCTTGGCTACAAAATGATTCCTGGGTTAAGTGATTTTGTCCAGTGGCTGTGAAGATATATCCTAACACCATTGCAACAGTTTGATCACTTTTGAGCTGGAAGCAGAGATCACAATGATATCATAGAATATTTGGCTTTGTTTAGTCCTACAAACAAAGATACACATATAAACATTGTGTCTGAGTTTAAGTTCACACACTTCCTTATTCTCAACCACCATCATCATGAAATCCCTCTCTCCTGCTCAAAAGAGATTCTTAACCTCCTTAATGCAGGTCAAACTGCTCAGTCCATTGCCTCTACCAATGATGTCCATGTCTCTATCATATCTAGACTTTGCTCCAAGGAGTGTTCTGAACTCCAAAAGTCTGTTGGAGGTTGTCCATCCAAGCTTTCTCCTGCCAATGTTTGCCATGCCATACATCTCATCTCCACTTACAAGACAAAAAATGCTGTCCAGATCACTAAAGCTCTTACCAACATCATCAACCAACTTCTCTCCCCAAACACTGTCCACCAGCACTTGAAAAAGACTGGCATGAAGGCTGTGGTCAAGCGGAAACACCATCTTCTCTCTGCAAAGCATTGTAAGGCTAGGTTGGACTTTGCTCATGCTCACAAGGATTGGACTGTGGAGGATTGAAAGAAGGTTATATGGTCTGATGAGACCAAAATCAATTGCCTGGGGTCAGATAGACGCAAGCGGGTGTGGAAAAAGCCAGGTGAGGGGCTCAGTGATAGATTGGTATAGGGAATTGTCAAGTTAGGAGGAGGTTCTATGATGATCTGGGGCTGTATGACTTGGGAGGGAGTTGGGTATGCTGCTAGAATTGATGGTAGGATGGATGGGGATCTTTACAATTTTGAAGGATGAGCTGTTGAACACCCTACAGTATTATAGTCTCCATCCTCCTGATATTATTATTCAGCAGGGCAATAACCCCAAGTATACCTACAAACAAATCAAGGAGTGGCTAGATGATCAGGAATTTAGAACTATAGTGTGGCCTGCACAGTCTCCTGACCTTAATCCTATTGAATATAGGTGGAGTTGTCTTAAGAGGAGGCTGGCAGAGTATAAACACCCTCCTAATAGGATGGAGGAGTTGTGGGAGAGGATTCAAGTGGAGTGGGAGAAGATAATAGTTGCAGAGTGTCGCAACTTAATTGAAAGTATGCCAATTGAAAGCATGCCTAGAAGGATTCAGGCAGTGCTCAAGGCAAAAAGAGGCTATACCAAGTACTGATATTCCCTAGATATCTCCCTTGATACCAAAAGTGAAAAAACTGTTGCAATAGTATTGCTGTTTTGAAATAAACATATCCTCACAGCCACTGGGCCAAATCACATGACCCAGGAACCATTTTGTACCAAAGGCCAAGTACTTTTGTTGACCCCACCAAAGTCAAGTAACTTTCCCATGCCTGTTAGTTGTGCGCTTTGCGCACTGTGTTTAGGCCAAACATTGCAACAGTTTTTGGAGTCACTGTAACTCAGCTACCAGGCACTCAATAGCCTGTATATCTGTTTCAGCATAAAATTCTATTACCAAATATTGTACTCACTGGTTGCAGTTCTTTCTAAGCCTCTCTAACATCAAGTAGGTGGAGTCCCACCTTGTTTTTATATCCAATATTAGCTCCAAGGTTGGTAAGGTAACAACCTTATTTTGTCCACTATTATCATGTTTGACAAAAGTCCTTCTTTCATTTCCTGCTTTTATAATTTCCTGTAATTGCTCTCAATGGTAAAATGACTTCCTGACAGCACGTACAAAGTTTCTTGAAATTGATCCCATGCTGCTGCCTACTCCCTTGTCTGTTAACTGGCTTTAAAGGGAGGAATACCAGGTTTCAAGTTATCCAGGTTTTCATTGTTATCAACTTCTCCTAGCTTTGAGAAATACTTGATAATGGCTTGAGAAGAAAGGTTCATGATATGTGCAAAGCAACACATACGTCCTTCAATAGGATCAAAATTCATAATTGAATACTTGTTGCTTAAAATATCAGCTAATTCTTCTATAGCACAATCATTTGATGTTGCATTGTCCATTATGATAATGCCAATCTAGAAATATATAATATTAGAAAAACAAAATAATAGATGAACAATTTTACCTTTGCTTCTACTCCCACATTTTAAAAAATGTCAACTAGCTCCTCTGCAACATGCTTACCTGTGTGGCGTCCATTTATTCTACAGAAACCCACTATTTTAGCACAAGGTTACAAGTGACCAGAACATTTTGAAAACTAGTGGGCAGTTACACCTAGAAAATGCTGCACCATTCTGTTCTGCCATAAATCAGCAGTGAAGCTAACATTCCCTGGTGATTCCTAAATTGTACAAGGTCATAGGATAGAATATGAATTTGGAGTTAAATATGTTACCTGAAACTCTTTACGTAGTTGGATTTTTCCATCCAGAAATAATAATATCCCATATTTTTGAGCAATGAGGGATGTCAGTATCGGTGATAATTTTTCCCCCCACAAGTAAAAGGAGTTCCCAAGATGATGGATGGTCAACAATCCTTATACCCTGTCAACGTTTTTTGAGTACAACCACTAATAAAGGGGATTGAATTTATATATAATTCCTGATCAGTAACAGCAATATATATACTTAGGGCTTTATAAAAGTTTGTTTGTTGTAAGGTACGGAACCAGCTATTACAAACTGATTGACAGTTTCTGCTGTTGGTAGATACATTCTGGATATAGTGTGGCCACCCTTCAATTGTGGTACAGTCATGATGCCATTGATCCCAGTGTTCATTTGCAAGGTGACAATGCATGGTACCTGTACTAGTTCCAGTAGCGTATACTTGAGTTTTTCTTTTCCTAACACAATAATCAACATAAAGGAGTAACTAATGGATAATATATGTACTTTCAGGCCTTGCAGATGTTAGCCAGACCTGGATCATCGCTCCAGTGGTATTCCACCTTATGGTGAAAAAATTTGTTAATATCTTTGGCTTTCTGATTTTTCTTTTTCTTATAAGCAGGCAACTTTTTGCTACCACAACTAGGATCATTTGCAGAAGGTGAAGGGTCTACTGAAGCTGGGATTGAGGGAATCAAAGAGCTTCCAAAGGAAAGTTCTACTGATAGTGCCCCAGGTTGAACTAAGAAAGAAATAATTATAGTTAAAATTGTAGTATAAAAAAGGTATTAGTAGTTACCTGGAGCCTGACCATCAAAGTGACTTTCAGAGTATTCACTGCGCCCAGCATTTTTGACATTAATATATTCTCTGTCTTCAGAGATATGAGATGCACAAGTAGTACTACAGGCCCTAGTACCAGAAGACCGTCCCCTGCTCCTGCCTCTAACACAATATGTGCGACTAGCCATCAAAACTTTCTAAAGTTATGTTCAAAGACTAACGAATAGGAAGGGTGAGTAGAAAGTAGACAGACATACTGAAAAGTGAACATCAGAATACTAGTTTATATACCAGTAAAAGCAGCCATTATTGTCTTGTATCCTCAGCTAATGTGCCAGAATCTTGTAGAAATCTACAAGAAGAGCACTCGTATCTGATTAACATATATTAGATAGTACCTTGCAATATACAATCACCTGCTCAAAGTAAAGTTCAAAAGTTAGAACTCAATGTGAGTACCCTACTATGGGAAATCTAATAGATATATCTTACACTGTAATATTCCCCTTTTCAGCATCATACCATTTTTGCTAGTGGTTCACTTCAAGGACCCTTGCTTGTGATATCAAGCATGTGGGAGAACTGTGCTATTAAAAGCTCTATGCTTTGATACTCCACAGCCCATGTGGAACCTTGTATCAGATGCTAGAAGTATGAAATAGAAAAATCAAACTGTCATTTCAAATATTAAGCTCTTAAAACCATAAATTAGGAGTATAATACAGATATGTAATGCTTAACTGTCAACAATAAGCCTCTAGTAAGCCTCATGTTCCTCTTGTGGAAACCTTATTTCTGTGAAGAAGCTTTAGGTTACCTACTCTTCTGCCAAGAAGCAGTTAATTCCTCAAGTTTTTCATAGCTTATTAGTATATCAGATAATGTTTCCTGACTTCCTAGAGAAAAATCAGCATAGGAAGGGATTTCTTGACCTAATAACCATAATTTTAGATGGTTAAAATTACAGAGTAAAATAAACTTATCAATACTTCTATCCATGACAAAACTCCTGAAAATGCCTTTTGAAGGTTGTTTTAAGAACTAGGGAATTTCTGTATATCTTCTGATGAGTATAGGAGCATCTGAGAATAGTTTACCCTTCTACCATCTTCTTGTACCAGATATCTTGGCTGAACATTGGTTGGAGCATCTTTTCCCTTGAATAAAGAAATAAAATAAGCATGTAATTCCTTGAAAGTATTTCAACAAAAGCCAACCTTAGTAGTATAGCAATTATAACTTGAAAAATACAGGCTTTGGAAAGGTGCTCCCTCTTTAGAAGAACTACCAGACTGGTGAATAAGTTGCTGTATCCCTTCAGTATCAAATAAGAGCTCTAAAAGCTCCTAAAGATTGGCACACAGATAATTTGGCATAAAAGTGCATATAAAGGCTAGTAGTGTGCCATGCACATTGCGCAAATCTAGTGCACTACTTCAAATATATTTGTTAAAAATTGTTATTCAACAAGCAAATATATAAAACTCAACTGGTAATTGTGCCCTCTGGAATAATAATAAAGGAACTAGGCATCTTCTGACTGTTTAGATAGAATGACTGGATCTACAGTTTAAATCAATATAGATAGAAAAGTGGCTGTAATATGGAATTAAACTTACTATGACTGGATCTACAGATTAAATCAATATAGATAGAAAAGTGGCTGTAATATGGAATTAAACTTACAAGTTGTTTTAATTCTTCTGTACTATGCACAGTGATGCTTTTATATTTTATAATATGCCTTTGATGCTGAATCCATTGTATGCTTTCTTGATAGTTATGAGGTACAGGATAACTGGTGTTGGCAAGGATAGAAGGATCATAGAACATCTGTAAATGAATGGTGGAAAAGGAGAGATCTGAGGAATCAACTCTATCATTTGAATCTCTGGGAAGATCTTCTGTGTAGGTGGACCTGGATAACTGTAAACCAGCATTGCCTAAAACAAGGTCCCCAATTCTACCCCAATAGAGAGGGGGTTTGAGAGAAAGTATTAGGCAAACAGCCCAAGCAGAAGAATCACGTTCAGGGGGGTGAAAATTGCTGTAGATTTTCTATATTAGACCTTGCAAAATCTTGAAGGAAAAAAAAAACCCTTACTCAGCAAAAAAGCAATAAATCAAGTTATCTGGTTTAGCTAGTACCGCATAGTTATAAACTTTGTGTAGGCTTTGAGACTGGATATAAGTATCACTGAATATGTTGGGCAGTGATAAAGGCAGTAAATGATGTAATCTGTTGATGTAGGGTATAATAACCTCTATAACAACATTTCCAATCATAGTATTCAGATAATTTTAAATTCTATGCTAGACCAAAAATTCTGAAGGCTTACTAGGTTTGGGTGCTCTTAATATATCTTCCACTTCCCTTAATGTCTTGTAAGAGACTCTCTTTATTTTCCAATCCAGAGTAGCTAAAAGGGTCAACACATAAACAAATCCACAAGCAGCAAGTGCTCCATATTTACTCCCTAAAGCTCTACACTTTTGGAACCTACAATGAGAAGGCTTAGTATCCAGATTTGCTAATTCCCCTTCGCAAAGGGTTGTAATATTAGAATATGTAGAAGTCTGAGAGATAAAACTTGGGTACTATCAACACTTTACTTTTTAGATACTAACAGCAAAAATACCTTTTGCATTTCATAAAAATTTGTGTTTAGCTTATCATTATAAGGAAGCTATCTCCAACACCTTTCCTTCTAAAAGCCTGGCAAAGTGTAACAGTGGAAGCAAGTGAGTTGTTGGAATCAGCATATAGTCCAGTGCAGCATTTGATACCCTATACTATGGCTTCAGGTTGAGGCACTTCTCCAGACAGGTGTGCACCTGCTAATTCAGCAATTAAGGCCCCTGCACCTTGAGAGTATGTTAGCTCTTGGGCTGTATGGAACCCTGCTAGAGCCCATTGAACCCCATGCTGACAGCAAGCCTTTTGAATAGATCTAGCTACCCTACCAGCCTGTGACTGCTGCACCGTCACCAACTCCTCTTTTGCGCAGCTAGGGCTTTTTCCAATGCCCAGATCTTCTTCTTCCTCCCTATAGATTGTTATTCCTCATCAAAAAAAAAAGGTTGGGTGCGGAAAGATAGCACCTTAATAACCCTGGAGTCCCAAACACCTTTTTCAGGGGAGTGCCAAAGGCACTGTTGCTAACTCCCTTAAAAGACTTTATTGCAGATACAAGACTTTCTAGCAGCTCTTTCTTGTCCTCAGAATTTGGATTGGAGAGTTTGAAAATGAGTATGCCTGCCTATTTGGCAGAGAGCGCAAGGAATTGTATAGTTTGAGAATAGTGTTCCATAGCAGAAACTTGAGGGAGGGAAGACAAAGCCCACTCCAACTCCTAACCCTACCTGCTGTGCGCAGCAGCATGCAACAACCCTAACCCTACCACAAAAAGCCTGGCACATTCAGCTGGAGCCACCAGACTTGGCTGGAAGAGATTGCAAATTCAAGGCTGACATCTACAGTTAATAAGCACTGGAAAGTCATAACAAGAGCTGCACAAGAGAGACTGTATCATAATGTTACAATTGATGTACCAGTACCCACTTACATTTCTCTTTTCATACTTTTACTTTTACTTTTTCCAAAGTCACATGACCAGTCACGTGACCATTTACTTTACTTTTCATTTTCGGACCTTTCCTTTAAATTTCATTCTCCGCTTTAACCTTGTACTGTAGTTCTCACACTGTGCCATGTGGCACTTCCCTTTTTGTTCAAACTCCTCTTTCTCGCACGGCGCTGCCTTTATTCTTATTTTAGCTACAATTATCTCACGCAGTGGAGCTGGTCATACGGGCTAGGTCCCATGACATCAGCAGCCACTGCCTCTAGCAACTGTACAGTACATATGTACAAACAAACCTGTATTAGTATATAAACCCCAATAGATCTTGAGGAAGGACTCAGCGAGTCCTCCCATTGTCTACCAACAACCAACTTGTTCCTACCAAATGGGTAACCACTCCCACCTCTTCTTCTTCTTCTTTTGAGTGTTATTTTGTTGTACTCCAGTGCCCCAAGACTGTGTCTTGTTGGTGTTGTCACACACAAGCTTTGATGTATATTGGCAGTTTGAGAGATCTGGAATAAAAAAGGTTTCCCCCAGTATCTTTAATAGGTTAACCTTGGTCTTCTCAGAGACCACCTTGGACAGTTTGTGCAGAAGAGGTGTGAGCAGCTCTAGTAGCCAAAATGACTGCCCTGTGTTGGAAATATAATGAGAAATTTTGGAGAGAATACCAGTTGGGCGGTGGGAGAGCAGGCTGGAGATTAAGGCATTGTTTTTGGTCTGTTCAACTAGAACCGCCACATTTGTGAATAATAGTGATATGTAAAGGTATACCTTAAGCATAATGGTAGGATAGTATTGAACCAAATATTGTACATATTCCCGCTGTGACACCTAAGTGTAGAACAATTCCAGAAGCCCTGACAGTGCCTGAGTATTTTCTTTATCCAGCAAAGGCAGTCATAGAGATATGAGCAAGAAATGATGCTGTGAGGTATTTTGTGAAATTGAATGTGACTGGGCTGCGGAAGAAGTCTGACAGTTGTTTGAATCCCAGTTGGCAAATCAAGCAGAAAGATTTAAGCCCCCCAATATCCTCAATTTCTTCCATGTCCTCTTTATCCTGCTTTTGCTCTTCATCCTTTTCCATCTTAGCAGGATCCCCGCACTTTATTGAGACAATCTGGATAGCAAAAGATTCTGTAGAGTGTTCTGAATGTGAGAAAAAAGACATGTATAGCAAAAAGAGTATTGGAGGAGTGTAGAGCCTTTGGATTGCTGAATTTGCTGAATAAAATCAGCTAAGATGCTAATTTATACCGAGGTAGCTAGGAGGACGTGTTTAGACTAGGAAACAACGGATGGGATGAAATCTTGATTATGCTTTTCCGCCAGTGAGCTACATTTGCCAAAGGGTGGACAGCAGCTGGGACTCATAAGACAAACTATCAATGTGACCTTTTGGAAGTTGCACCTATGTGAAGGTAGTTTTACAAGTTAGCCTGGATGTGTAACAAGCAAGAGTTTGTATACTCTGGCGCGCAACTCAGACAAAGCTGTAAAGAGTTGAGGGGAGTGGTTACCCTTTAGATGGGACTGAGTTAGTTGTGGGTAAACAACAGGAGGACTCGCTGAGGAGTCTCCTTGATCTATTGGGGTATATATACTACTACAGTTTGTTTGTACATATGTACTGTACAGTTGATGGAGGCAGTGGCTGATGATGTCATGGGGCACAGCCCATGTGATCAGCTCTACTGTGTGAGAAACTTGGATCTAAAAATAGAAAAGGCAGTGCAGCGCGAGAAGTGGAGTTTGAACAATAATGGAAAGTGCTGCATGGCACAGGGTGTGAAAATTACAAAAGAAAGTTGAAGAGGAGAATGAAATTTCAAGGTCCAAAAATTGTGTTATCGTAACACTACCCCCCTTCTAAGGCTTGACTTCCAGGCGAGACCAAATAGTAGAGGTAGTAGTTAAATTTCCGGGCATAGGTTGAAAAAGGGAATTAAAAAGGTTCAAATTCATGCCTCTAAGCTTCCTAGGAGCCGAGGGATTCTTAGAACAAAATTCGCAAACAGTGTCACGGGAATTGTCCAGATGGGCTTCTGGTTCCTATGTTCTGTCTCCGTCTCCATAGCCCTTCCATAGGACTAGAAACTCTAACTTTCCACGCTTCAAGTGTGCATCCACCACCCGTTTGACTTCAAATTGTTCTTCACCTTCCTGGGTGACTACCACCAGTCCGGGCCAGTCTACACGCTGTCCTGGCAGCGGCCCTTTATAGGGCTTTACATGGCTAATGTTGACTGTGGGTACTACCCTCATTCGTTTTGGGAGTTCCAGCTCCACTGCATTGGGTTTAACTTCCTTAATCCGATAAGGACCAATCCACTTTTTGGTCAGTTTTCTAGACTGCCGATCTTTCAATTTTAAGTGGTCGGTATCTAAGCAGACCAGGCCGCTGACCTTGTAATCAGGGGCCTTGGAGCATCTACGCTCTGCCCTGTCTTTCATCTGCTCTGCAATTTGAAATAGCGCCTTGCACGTTTTGTCTAAGACAGATTTCAAGTCCTTAGCCATGTTCCCTGCAGCCTCGTTCCTGCTTTTACCAGGCTCAACACCCATTCTGGGGAGGTATGATCTTGTGACCTTGAATGGTGCTTTTCCTGTAGCCAACAGCTGTTTGATATTATATGAGAACTGGGCTATCTTTAGCCACTGGTCCATGCCTGTTGTTAATAAATATGCGGAGGTATTGCTTCAATACTTGATTGAGCCCCCCTATTTGTCCATCAGTCTGCAGATAGAATACTGTTGATAATTTAGGTTTGATGCCCGGCATCCGGCATAATTCTTTTGTAAATTTGCTAGCAAATTGGGGACCCCTATTGGATATAACCGTTTCTGGTAATCCGTGGATAGACCATACAAAATCTTTAAATAAATCTGCCGTACCAGCAGCTGTAATTGTTTTATTGGTGGGAATGAATACCACCTCTATGGAGAAGCAATCTACTACCACCATTACTGAATTATACCCATTTGATTCGGGCAGATCCATCGTAAAGTCAACTAATATATCCTGCCAGGGACCAGCTGGTATCAGATTTGGCATAAGTTTTCCAGCCGGTGGTTGATGTGAGTTCTTTGCCATAGCACATCTCAGACAGGATTTTATGTATTCCTGTATGTTTTTTACCATGCCAGGCCACATGCAATTTCTGGAGATCAACTCCATGGTTTGTTGCCACCCAGGTGCCCAGCCACTGGAGTGTTGTGATGTCTATCTATTGCCTTGATCCTTGCAGTCTCAGGCACATGGATTTTGTTTTTAAAATGGATGAGCCCGTCTTTCCATAAATAGTTCTCATTGCCATCAAGGCGCGTTTTCTCTTCTGAGGAGATGTCTTTCTTGAAGACTTCCAGAAGATCAGAATCCTGCCCGATTCTAACATTGGCAACCCTTAATTGGTCTATCAGGGTGACACATTTGTTGTCATCTTCTATGCCGTTGGCATGATCCTCTCTTCTGGACAAAGCCTCCGCTTTCCCCATTAAAGCGCCAGACTTATGAATTAGTTTATAATTAAACTTAGATAGGTACACCGCATAGCGGGCGTGTCTCCGGTTTAAGTCTCAGGCCATCATAAAATACTACAGATTTTTATGAACAGTCCAAATTTCAAATTGGTGTCTAGCACCTTCTAAATAGTGCTGCCAGTGCTCTAAAGCTCTAATGATGGCTAGTATCTCCTTATTCTAAATTTGATAGTTGCGCTCCGTGGGTGACAAACTATGCAATAAATAGGCACAAGGCCTCCAAAGACCATCAGGGCATTTAATTGACAGAACAGCCACAGTAGCAAAGTCAGAAGAGTCAATTTTTAGCCGGAACTCTTTGTCTAGTTCAGGAAATGCTAATATGGGTGCTGTTGTAAATGCCTGTTTAAGCTTATCAAAAGCTTCTTGTTCCTTGGCACCCCAGTGCCAGACAATGTCCTTTTTAGTGAGATTGTCCAATGGTCTTGTTATTTTCGCAAAGTTCTCAACAAAACTTTGGTAGAATTTGCCTAAGCCAAGGAAGGCCCTAACTCCTTTGATGCAAGTAGGTTCAGGCCAATCCATTATAGCTTGAACTTTCTCAGGATCCATCCTGATTCTATTCTGGCTAATTATCATACCAAGGAAGTCTACTTCCTTCACTTTAAAGTTACAATTTTTGGGTTTGACGAATAGGTCCTGTTTCTATAAGCGTAGAGGGACTTCTTGCACAATCCTGTCATGTTCAGCCTCATTGTCCGACTTTGTAAATATCAATAAATTGTCAATGTAAACGACAACACAGTCCTCTATATCCGCAAAGATCTTGTTCATCATGCTGTGGAAGGTTGCCGGTAAATTAGTCAACCCAAAGAACATGGCAAGGGGTTCAAAGGATCCTCGGTGGCACGTGAACGCGGCCTTCCAAGTATCTTCTTCTCTGATTTGTACATTATTGTACCCCCATCTGAGGTCCATTTTTGTCAAAATCTTGGTGCCAGCCAATTTGTCTACTAGCTGACTGATCAAAAGCAGTGCATACACATTTTTAACCATGTACTCATTTAAGTAATGATAGTCCATAATCATGCGCTTCTTACCATCCTTATTAGAAATGAAGAACACCGGGGATGTCATAGGGCTTTTGGAGGGTCTGATGTAACCTTTCCTAAGCTGTTCATCTATGAAACTTGAGACCTCATCTCTTTCTGGAGCAGAGAGGGGAATCATATGTCCCTTTCTAGGTTTGAAGGTGTCCTTCAAATCTATAGCATGGTCCCAAGACTTAGCCTCTGGGAAGCGCTCTGATTTGTGTTTTGAAAAGACTTTCCAGCCTCTTAATCTCTTCCTCAGGTTTTACCTCGTCATTGTCATTGTCAATCTTATCTAAAGATTGGAGCTTGGCATAAACGTGACCAGCGTTTATCCTTTCATCCGGCTCAGTTTGACGGACATGACTCGGCTTACCCAAGTCATCACACTCCTGAAGGCAATGTGACAATTTGCCAACCTGTCTGCCAGTTGATTTCAGAATTGTGTTTAAATAGCCAGGTCCAGCCTAAGATTAAATTGATCTTCCCTGGTTGGGTAGCTTTGGCGGTGACTCATTTTCTGTGTCCTTGGTACTCAACAACAAAAGAACATTTGTGTGTAATGCAGCCACCCGCATTAAGTGTACCGTCAATGTTATAGACAGGAATTGATACATCTGATTTTACAAGGGGGAGTCCAATTTGCTCTGCACAGACCTGATCTATGAAGATTCCATTAGCGCCTGAATCAAGCAGTGTGCTGGGTGGGTGTATTATGCCCCGGGCAAGGTTTTCCACACTAACGTCCAAACAGATCTCCTTTTGGAATAAATATGTGCGCAGCAACACACACCTTGGGATTTCTGTGGGAAGTGGCTTCGATGAAGAAGAAATGTTAAGAGAAACTTGTTTTTCTATTTTACGTTTTTCTATATTTTTATTTTTATTTTTACCAGAATTAAGCACCCTAGTAGTTGTCTCGCCGAGGCTACACTCCAAGGGAGACGCTGGTGCAGCAGTAGTATCATAAATATTTACAATCACAATCCTTCATACAGGTACATGTTTCTGATAATAAATTTAAAAATCTATTTACAAATTGGGGAGCCACCCCTGTCTTTCCTTTATTGCTCGTGCAACACCCCGGAGCAGGGGCCACTTTGTTGTGGTTTACTTCATTGTTTCAAGGAGCAAAGGCACCCAAGCAACCTAAGCTTTGAACTCTTTTCCCTGAGCTTTTATTTTGTTGACCTACTGGTTATAGAAGAAAGCCCGGATTTTGTTGTACAAACAATCGGCCAGAGTATTGAGCTGATTGTCCAACTTTTCTGTTTCTAATTGGTGCACCTGGTGCCCTTGATTATTTTTTTATTGGGTGGCCTGCACCCCATTTCTGCAATCTCGGGACATGTAGCCCTCTTGGCCACAGTTGTAACAGTTGCCCTTGAATCTGTGCATCTGTCCCCCTTGGACCGCGCCAATATCCATAGGAGCAACCTGTCCTGGCTGCAGCCCGAACAGCTTGAACCCGTGAGAGTGATTATGGTGGTTTGATAACCCAGGGCGCCTCTGGAATTGGTTGTTTTTGGTGGTGGGCCTGCCACCTTGATGCATTACATAGAGCTCCAGGGCTCTACCAACTTGGCGAACCTCCTCTGCTGCTTGAGAGAGGTTACCACTTCTCATATCCTGCAGATAGAGTCGTTAGAGTTGTTCTGCAATGTGGGGGTTCACATTGTGTTCTAGCAGATCTACTACATGTTCATTTCCAAGCCCTCCTTGGATAGAGAGAGCCAGGAACCAGGTGACATAATCATCCGTCCTCATGCTTCCTTGCTTGAAGGAATGAGTTTGCTGACGCGCCCAGTCACGCTCAGCTTGCGGTTTGAAATATTTCTTGATCTCCACCTTGAGATCATCCCAGGTGGGCCACGCTCCCGCCATGTAGCACTCCTGCAGTCTTACTTGGGCATATAAACCCGCCACAGGTCCTTTTAGATGCGATAGCACTGCTGTTGCTATCTCAAAATCATCAGCAAATGTGTCCCAATTTGCCTTGATCCAAATCTGGAGCTTGATCCACCATTTGGCAAATCGAGCCATATCTCCTTCAAAAGCGCCGGGGTCAGCGACAATCTCGACTTTCTTGTTGAACTTTCACTCAACCGTAGTTTCTGCTGCTGGGGCAGCCTGAATTTTGTCAAGCTGATTTGTCAATGCTTGAATCTGTGCACGCATGTTGTGCAGCAGACTGTTCATACTGGGTTATGACAATATGTCAACTTGTTTTCTTTGTAATGTAAAAAAAAGGTAACTGGGGGTCCCCGCTTGCTATCTGTGGATCTACCTCTTCCCAGCTGAGTATCGGATCTCAATCTCCGACTACCCACACTATAGTATTTGAAAAGTATATAAAAAGGTAAACATAATAAACCCTAGTCCAAACGGTTGCCAGGGGGTGGTCCGCTTGTCAAGCTGTCAACCCTTCTCCAGACTGGTGGAGGCAAGTGCCGGCCTGGTCAGATAAAAGAGAAAGAGAAGATTTGTATGTAAATTCTAATCAACAGTGGTTCCACACCAACTGCTGAGCTAAGTACTCCCCTTCACACTGGGGGCCGTGTATAGATAATTGTCTCTTCTCCCAGAGCACTACGGGGCCGTTGCTAGGAGTGCACCCTTCTGCTAGACGGGATATTCCCAAACAATAACCCGTTAACCCTGGGGACCAGGTTTGCACAAAGTGCGAGAGAGTAGTAAGAGCGAGTCCTAATGTAATAACCAAGAGTTTGTATACTCTGGCGCGCAACTCAGACAAAGCTGTAAAGTAGTGAGGGGAGTGGTTACCCTTAGGATAGGACCGAGTTGGTTGTGGGTAAACAATAGGAGGACTCGCTGAGGAGTCTCCTTGGGGTATATATACTACTACACTTTGTTTGTACATATGTACTGTACAGTTGATGGAGGTAGTGGCTGATGATGTCATGGGGCACAGCCATGTGATCAGCTCTACTGTGTGAGAAACTTGGATCTAAAAATAGAAAAGGCAGTGCAGCGTGAGAAGTGGAGTTTGAACAATAATGGAAAGTGCTGCATGGCACAGGGTGTGAAAACTACAAAAGAAAGTTGAAGAGGAGAATGAAATTTAAAGGTCCGAAAAATGTGTCATCGTAACAGGATGTGGTAATTGGTATAAATGAAATTGCCTTGATGATTTCACTACGCTGATGGTCTCTGTGGAGCCAACCAGAAGTGGTACTTGAGGGTTGTTTTGAGGGGCGTGTGAATTCCTGGGAATGAGAATGCTGGTTTGTTGTTAGACTGTAAGTTAGTTATCAGTACACAAAGCAATATGAGAGAAAAAATAAAGTACCTTGCTTACTGTAGAGTGCATTTTTTGACCAACTCCAGTTTTTGATAACCTTATCTGTCCATCCCCCAAGATCCACTATATTGATCCACTGTGGAGGATTGCACAATGCTATTGTCTGCATGCATAAACCAACTACTCATGCTGTATTTGCATAGATAGACTCATAGTTTGCTTTTGGTTTAGGTGTATCAAGCAAAGAATTGGAAATCCTGGCTAAGAGTCAAGGCAGACAGTCCACAAACCCGCATAGCTCGAGTAGATCACTCAAATCATCTACCCACTACTCTTCACTCTCCCATGTTTCTAATCTGCGGACAACCCATTTCTTTATACACCCTCTCCAAACCCCATCTATGTCGCTTATTTTCCCTTGCTTCTTCAAGTTAGAAAGCTTTGGTTCATGCTTCAGCAATGCAGGTGTAGCTTTTAGGACTGCAGGAAGTCCAACAAGTTTCCATCCTCCCCATCTGATTTCTGAGAGAATGCCACAGGGATGAATACTAAGCAAAAGTGCTTTGAGAGGGCGCAGGAGAAAAGCATGACCTGTTTTGGTTGAAAACTACACATCACCAGCAAGGAGGGTAGATGTAGCAAAGTTCAGAAAGAGGAGGGTG